TGATAAGTCATCAACATTTGATTACACCTTATTATAAGTTGACTATATAATTAAAAATAATTTTAAGAAAATGAGTGATTAAACACATTTAGTTTGTTTTTATATTAAAATAGTTTAACCTGCATATTTATCTTTGGAGTAATGAATTTTATTTTATAGTATAGAAAATCCTATTCTGAAGAACATCTATATTTTTTTAAGGTTCTACCAACTTATATATGTATTTTTTTAGGGCTTTATGGCTTCATTATCGTATGTACATATGTTTCTTTGTTTTTTTTTTCAATCGAATATCCGGTACATAGTTTCTCTCATATACACATGACATTAAGAGGAAGCGGGCTAATTATCTAATGATCTAAAATAATGGGTCCATTATTTCAAATGAAAGTTGACAGCAGAATTATAGACTGCCACGTGGCGGTCTAAGAGTGCTTGTAGAAACACCACATGATCATATTTGTGGAGTAATAAATTTTATTTTTATAGTATAGAAAATCCTATTTTAAAAAGACCGTCTATTTTTCTTTCTACTGACGTACATATATTTTTAAGATTTTATTGCTTTTCTTTTCACTCCTACATAAGTACGTACCTTTTTTTAAGTGAACAATATCTAAAGTTTTTTTGTTTGATGGTTTTTTTATCGTACTTACGTACTCTTATACATGTATTTTTTGGGCGTTATAGATTTATTATCGTATGCACATATATTTCTTTCTTTGTTTTGTTTCAATCGAACATCCGTAAACAATCTCTCGTATACACATGAAACTAAGAGTAAGCGGACTAATCTAATAATCTATAAAATGGGTCCATCATTTTAAATGAAAATTGGCATACCATGTGGCGGTAAGGGTACTTGTAAGATCGCCACATGATCATATCTATGGAATAAATTTTATTTTTATTGTACGGAAAATCCTTATTTTAAAAAGATCAATGTCTATTTTTTTCTACCTATGTACATAAATATGTGATAATAAATGAAAATATTATTAATAGGAAAACATCAATAAACATATTTAAAAAATATTCAAAGGCTCTTTTCTTTTTTTTTGTCTATATATATATATTTATATTTTTTCAAGTGAACAGTTTCTTTTTTTTTCTGTTTTATAGTTTTTTATCGTACGTAACTACAAAGTACGTTCGTTTTTTTTAAAGGAACATCAACTAAACGTACCTTTATTTTTTTTTCCAAGTACATACCGACGGTAATTTTTTTCCCGGTATAAATGGCATTATGCACAGGACAGAAAGCAAAGCAAATAGATCTAATCTAATCTAATGGTCTAAAATAACGGGTACACCAATTTAAATGAAAATCGACGGTAAGATTATAAAATGCCACGTGGCGATCTAGGAGCGTTTGTAGGAGCGCCACATGGTGGCTTAGGAGTGTTTATAGGAAGATTAATGGACTTTTAGTATATAATAGATAATAGAAGATAATAGATAGATAGATAGATAGATAGATAATAGATAATTAATTCCCATGGTAGCACAAATTAATAATTAATAATACATGTTGGAAATTAATCCCCATGATCACTAACCAGAGCTTTGTTGCAACTGGGGAGGCCAAAAACACGGTTCATATTACATCAACGTGCAAAGCAAATTATTTTTTCGAACGACTCGCATAAGTCGGTGTAAAGTTCTATTGATATAGCAGGAGAAAAATTACAAGGTTACAACCCGGAAAGGTCGTAACCAGGAAAAGAAAAGGTATACCATAAAAGATAAAAGAAACACGACTGAGATCACCCAAATCCTATACCTTACAAACAACACAAAGTATATTACGTGCAAAGCAAATTATTTATATTCAGGAAATTGAAGAGCAGAAGTACGTACTAGAGGTGTACGGTCGTCGATCTAGAGATGCAGCTCGAGGTCCAGCTGGTCGTCGCCGGCGCCCATGGAAGAGACGGCGGCGGCGAGCACCATCTGCATGCCCGCTGCCGAGAGCGGCCAGGAGCTGGATGCCCTCGGCTCTCGGTGAGGAATGGATCACCGGAAGGAGGTGGTGGCCTGCATAAACTCTAATAAGGTTATTGTTTAGGAAGTAGAGAGATGATACTACCAGTAGAACTAATCTGAACCGTTTATTTTTTTAGGTAGATTGGTGCTAAGACAGATTTGGGGTAGATTTGACACTTAATTTATTTCTCCATGTGGGTCTCATGGTTAGCGTCGCTCGGAATCCTCATCTATCGCAATCGAGCGGAGGTGGAGAGCGTGACTCCTTCCGCCGGTGCCTCGACTCCTTCTACCGGCGGCGCTTGTGCATCGCGTTCCCTTCCGCCAACGGCGGAACTCTCCGGCGCCCCTCTCCTTCCGTTCCCCTTCTCTGCTGGCGTCTAGCCGCTTCCCCACCGGCCTGCGCGCAGGAGCTTCTGCTGTGGGATGTTTTCCTGTTCATGATTTTGTATGGGTTGCGTTTTGCCTGAATTCTGGTGTGAACTGAACAGAGAAGGGAAAACGTTAGTTGGAAATTTATCTGAAATGCTGCAGTTCGTTTCATAGATATATGGACTAATCCATGTTAGTACTGAAGACCAACTGATCATCAATTGTTTGGTTTAGTTTTCAACAGTAACTGATCCTTCTGTTTGTCTCTGTCTGTTTGGTTAATTGACCCTACTCCCTGCATGTATCTGAATTCTTCTGGATATGAAGCAATTCGTTTCAGATATGGATGTGGATTTAATACCCTAGTATGTCACAATGTGTTGAATTCTTCTGCATCTGTGGCATTCCGTTTCAGAGATGAATGGGCTTATCTGAAGAATCATGCTTTTAACTTGCAGGGCTAGTTGAACTGTTGGATCGCTTGCATGAAGTAAATATTTTGCCCCCAAGCTGCCACTCTTATGCTTCCTCCATTTCTAAATATTTGACACCGTTGACTTTTTAATACATGTTTGACCGTTCGTCTTATTGAAAAACTTTTGTGAAATATGTAAAACTATATGTATACATATAAGTATATTTAACAATGAATCAAATGATAGGAAAAGAATTAATAATTACTTAAATTTTTTAAATAAGACAAACGGTCAAACATATTAAAAAAAGTCAACGGTGTTAAATATTTAGAAATTGAGGGAGTATATTTAAGTGAAATCCCAAGCTGCTAAGTTGTCATTCTTATATATTTAATTGAAATCCCACTCCTATGTACTCTTATATAGCAAAACCGTTTTACTGTAGACTTGTTCGATGGTCGCAAAATGCATTGACAGTGATATGCTATCAACCATAAACTCTGGACAGAAAGTTAATTAGGGTTGATCAAAGAATAGTTTGTCAGGTTTTGCTGCTATCATGCTTCTTCAGCAAGCTCTCCCTTGGTCTGTTCAATGGTATACGCAACCAACTTCGTATGTGTCAGAAAAGATGCAAAGCAAAATGCTCAATTCAGTAGATTGTCGACAAGATTTTTGACGACATCGAGCAATGGAGCAGCTGCGGGCAAATGTGCTGGTGCATTTCTCTCAGAGAGCTAGATAAACGTTGGAGGCGGCGGAGGCGAGTGCGTCGGGAGGCGGCAGACGAGGGCGAGGGTGGCGGAGCAGGCGAGGTCGGCTGAGGCGGCGGAAGGGAGGAGTCGCGAGGGAGGTTCTCTCGGCATGGGCTCCAGATGCAGGCGTCAGTTCCAGAACGAAAGAAGATAGGGTAGCTATTGTTATAAAGTGAAAGTGACGATTATATCCCTCCGTAAATAATTTTATATAGATAAAAGTACTCTCCACAATTCTACTACCACTAAGTGAGGTGGTAATAAAAATAGATCTGAACCCTTCGATCAAATAAGATCAACAGTTCAGATTTTTTTTCTACTACAAGTAGAAAGCATCGGAGTGAGGCTTTAGTAAGTATATACTGTATTAATTTGACTGGCCTGTGAATACCAATGTTATATGTAGTGTGCATGAACACCTGAAGTTATTATTTCCTTTTTTTTATGCTCCTTTAACATCATTCTTTTTTTTCCTGAAGAAACAGACAAGAAGTATAATACGTCCGCGCAAAAAGAAACACGCAAGGTTAGCCCCAAATTTCCAATCATTACACATTCGCCATTGCAAGACAGCTACAGTCCGCCCGCAAGGTGCGTTGGCGGCGGCGGCTGCTACTACGGCGGGCCATGGCGCCACGCAACACAATTGCAGCCTCCGGCGGCCGTGTCGCCGGAGCGAGATTACGTCGGCCAAGTGCCAGGTGCAGCCCAGCCGCCGCGCGTGTGTCACCCGCTGATTGCTGTTAGAAACGATTAAGACTTAGAATTTGGTTCTAAAGCAGAGATACTGATGTTTTAAGTGCTTCTCTTTTTTTTCCCGCCTTTGATTTGCTATACTAGAGCATTTTGTTTTTCTCCTTTCAGCTTTCATTTTATCCTGGAAATGTAGAACAAAAGGCAGACATGTTTGCAACACATCTACAAATACATATAAGTGCTTTGTATCATCATCCGATGTAACTATATTTTTTTTTCATGTCAATAAAGCTAATGGCCTGTTCACTTTGATGCTATTTTTAACCTTACCAAATTTTGGTAAAGTTGTCAAAACAAAAAAAAAAGTGGCTACATTTAGTTTGCTACTAAATTTTGGTAACTATATAAAAAATCCTGCCAAAATTTTGATAAGTTGTCAAAATTTTGACAACTATACCAAAATTTTAGCATTGTCCAAAATTTAGTAATTTTTTTTAACATAAAAGTGAACAGCTCCTAAGCCGAATGGCACTCCCCGTAGGCACCACCCCCAAAAAGAAGAAAAAAAAAACGAGCTACTGTTTGAGCGTTGGTTTTGGATCGGACGGTGCACAACCCATCCATTTCCTGTGCCAGCATATCCCCCTCCTGATCGATTCGGATTCCTCCAGCTACCGACACGCCGACACTTGTCACCCACACAAGGCCCATGTGCGGCCCAACTAGGCCCACCCTTCCGACACGTGTCCCTCCCCCACCCTCACCGACCGGCAGTAGCATTCACCTTCTCCGCCCTCCCCCCTCCGCCGCCTCCGCCGCTCCCCCACCTTCCAGAACCTTCCTTTCCCGAAATAGCCACCCCTACCCTACCCTACCCTACCCACCCCCGCCAAGATCCCCGCCGCCGGCGAGCTCGAGCCCTTGGTGGTGCTCCGGCGGGCGTTGTCGCGGTCGGATCAGCTGCTGCTGGTGCTGGTGATGCCGCTCTCTCTTTCTTGCGTGTACTTCCGGGTGGGAGGTTGATGGCGATGGTGAGGTGTTCTTTGGCGCGGTTGCCCTCGCCCCCACTCTTATCTCCTCTCCTCGCCCATGCTACCTACCTTCCTCCCCCGCCGGAGCTGCTCTGCTGCTCGTACTAGCGTGGGAGCTGCCTCTTCTTGTTGAGCCATTTCTTGCCTACAAGGACAGGGTGCCTCGCCGTCGCCATTGCCGGCGTCGGAGCCGGACAAGGAGGTTCAGTGTACTGTACCGTGGTTTTGGGCCTTCTGAGCTATGGATGATCCAATGCTGAATGCGGTGAAGGAGGAGGAGAGCCACGGGGACGGAGGAGGGTTGGAGGTGGTGGCGGGAGAGGATGGGGCGGCGGCGGTGGCGGCGGGGGTGGCGCCGAGGCCGATGGAGGGGCTGCACGACGCCGGGCCGCCGCCGTTCCTGACCAAGACGTACGACATGGTGGACGACGCCGGCACCGACGCCGCCGTGTCGTGGAGCGCGACGAGCAACAGCTTCGTGGTGTGGGATCCCCACGCCTTCGCCACCGTCTTGCTCCCCAGGTTCTTCAAGCACAACAACTTCTCCAGCTTCGTCAGGCAGCTCAACACCTATGTAAGCCCATAGCCACAGCTCCCTCCCCCTCCCTCTATATTTTGTCCTGCAATGCACTTGTTTGCAACCTGGTTCAGTTCTTGATGTTTCGCCGCTAGCGCCGATGAATGTAGCTGAAATTGTTCTTGTTCTTGGTTGTTGGAACAACCCCCACAATTGCAGTATAAACTATATGTTGTGGAGTAATAAGTTGGTGTAACCATCCAAATTGAATTGTCATTTGTGGTCATTCAAAGTTTAACAGAGGAAATTAGTTAGGCATTTAAGGTTGCCGGGTTCTTTTCAGTTGTTATGGTTGAATAGTAGGGATCTCAGATCTTTTTTGGTGATAAGGATATTTAATCTCTGGGAAACACTTACTATGTCTCATGATATTTCATCAGAGAAGCGAACTAACTTACACAAGCGCATATAAACATCTATTTAGAGTTTTTGTTTTTAAAAGCACAAAGAAATCCTAGATTTGACATACTTCTGTGGAATAACAAGCAACGTATGGACAAATGATAGTTGAATGGCAGTTGTCCTAGATCTGAAAATTTGGACTTTTCTCATTTTTGTTGGGCCACTGTCATAATTGTAAGAAAAAGGCTGTTAACAGAAACAAAAGTCGCTCAGGGGAAATGATTCGATGTTTGTTTGGATGGATGCAGCATTGCCCTACCTGCATGTGCTGTAGTACTGTATTTCAGGTCTTCATATCTGGACTCCATTTCCCAAAGTAATGGAGATCCATTTTCATGCTGTGCCTGGTGTCCCCATCCTTTGAACCTTTTTTTTGGGCATGTTACGGTTGTGTACCAACATCTTTTATGCTATGCGTCACCGTCAACTACTTGAACTTCATATAAGCATCACGTTGGGCTATTTTTAAATAGTGTAAATAAGATCAATATGTTTATGTTTTTTAATAAATATCCTCAATTCTTATGCTAGAGTTGATAGTTAACTTGTGCCCTCTGGAATGGGGCAACAGATGACTGAATTTGTAATTTGCCCCAACTTATGAAATCGATGAAGATTGAAGGAGAAACTTGATGAATTTAGTGCAGAAAGAACTGAAAACTGCACAAACTGAAACCTTGCAAATTGAACTGAAACGCATTCCAGAAAGGTACACAAAAGATACTTCTTGTAGCTTCATCTTTGTTGGTACTGCTGCAACTTGTGATCTTAACAAAAAAGCAAAAAAAAAAAAGTGAGAGAGAAGTATTAGTGTGTAATTCTCCCCCTACCAAGAAAGAAGTAGCATCCTGTTGCATACTTGTCTAAGATGTCTCTTGCAACTAACATTTCCCTGAAGAATTGTTTGTTTGTTTTCAGGGTTTCAGAAAGGTGGATCCTGATCGGTGGGAATTTGCAAATGAGAATTTTCTGCGGGGACAGAGACATCTTCTCAAGAACATCAAGCGTAGAAAACCACCTTCCCATACTGCTTCAAACCAGCAATCCCTTGGGCCATACCTTGAGGTGGGCCACTTTGGATATGATGCTGAGATAGACCGGCTGAAGAGAGACAAGCAATTATTGATGGCTGAGGTGGTGAAGCTAAGGCAGGAGCAGCAGAATACAAAGGCAAATCTGAAAGCCATGGAGGATAGGCTGCAAGGAACCGAGCAGAGGCAACAGCAGATGATGGCATTCTTGGCGCGTGTCATGAAAAATCCTGAGTTCTTAAAACAACTTATGTCCCAGAATGAGATGAGAAAGGAGCTCCAAGATGCCATTTCAAAGAAAAGAAGGCGTCGCATAGATCAGGGACCTGAAGTTGACGACGTCGGCACTAGCAGTAGCATAGAGCAAGAGTCACCGGCCTTGTTTGATCCCCAGGAGTCGGTGGAATTCCTCATCGATGGGATTCCCTCCGATCTTGAAAACTCAGCTATGGATGCTGGAGGTCTGGTGGAGCCACAGGATTTCGATGTCGGCGCCTCCGAACAGCAGCAGATCGGGCCCCAGGGGGAGTTGAACGACAATTTCTGGGAGGAGCTGCTGAACGAAGGGCTTGTTGGTGAGGAGAACGACAACCCGGTCGTCGAGGACGACATGAATGTGTTGTCGGAGAAGATGGGTTACCTCAACTCAAATGGCCCAACGGCTGGGGAATAGCTAATTTCATTCAAATTATACCACATTGCTGTCAGCTTTCGCCATGTGAATTTAACTGAATTTTAGTTGAATTTCTGCTTGCTACTGGCATGCCTCCCTCCCTGTGTTACTGACCGTAGTGATTTGTTCGTTGTTAGGCCATATAGCCTGCCAGTCATGTAAAATGAGTAAAGGTGTTGATGATCCACAAATGTTCTGTTCCGTGTTGTCAGATGGTCTGCCTGTATTTGTAGTCGTGCTTAGTGTGTGCAATGTTGTAATGATATCTAATATTAATCTGTACTTCTCGTAATGACATCTGATCTTAATCTGATTGCAGAAGTGCTTTGAATTGCATGAGAAAAGAGAGTATAGTTTCCATGAGGTGCATATATATGGTACTGAACTTTGATTTAAATAGGTTTAAACTTTTCAGATTTTGATCGGCAATTAGTCAAACTAAAAAGAGATTTCGAACTTAAAGACTATACCAATACATTCATATTTCAAAGTGAATCCATAACAGTTCAAAATTGTCACTATAAAATATTCATATTTTTAAAGAAATTGTATTGCTTCCGCTCCAAAATATAACAGTTCAATATTTGTTCCCAAACACAATAACTTTGGCATCTACTCCCTCATGTCAAACAATCACAAACTTCAGTAGTTCAATTATATATCTCTTCCTAGGCCATGTTTGCCACGACTCCGGATGCTAGATTTTGTAAAGCTGAGTATTCCTAGCTACAAAATCCATGAATTTGGATATGCGAATTTGTTGATAACATTTAAATGGATTGTTTTGTTCCTATTTTAGATGAAATATAAAATTTTATAACAATATAATTCAACATAAAAAATTTAAATGTAATATGTATATGGGATTTGGAGTTGTGCCAATTAATAGAACCTTAACCTCCATAAAAAAGCCCTAGAAGTCTCATTATCCTCTGAGACGAAAGAAATATAAATTTTACAATCAGCACAAATTTGATCACAAGTTCACAACCACATATCACCAATCACTGACACGTGGGCCCACAAACCGCCACCCTTTCCCGCGACTACTGGCGCGCGCCTTCTGGATTCTTCCTCAGCCCTTTTTGGCGGGAAGCCCACCCCACACCCCGACGATGCACGGTGCCCTGGACGTCCACGTCGACCGCCACCCGCAACCTCTGACCCCCTCGCCCTCCACGTCGCCGCCTCCCACTCCCCCCGCCGACGTGGCCGCTGCCGCCGCCACCACCACTCCCCGCCTCGCCGCGCGCCCCCGTGACCTCCTCCTCGATGATCCCCCCGCCTATTTATACTCGTCTCGCCACCCGCACCATCATCATCAGCAGCAGCAGCAACAGCAGCAGCAGAAAGAGTGATCTAGCTAGCTCGCCTGAGTTCTTTGCTTCTCCAGATCGATCGTTTCGCGCGCGTCTCCGCGTTCATCTGCTGTGTAATTTGAGTTATTATTAGCAACAATGGCGGTTGCTACCATGGCGCTGAGCTCCTCCTTCGCCGCCGCCGCCGCTGGTAGCGCGCCATGGCGTGGTGTCGTCGCCGCCGGCCGCGCCGCGGTTGGCTTCCCGCCTCGCCGTCGTGCTGCCGCGCTCGTCGTCAGGGCCCAGGCCGAGGTGAGCTGAGCGTTCTTGATTGGTTTCACTGTGTGTGTTCTGGTGATTTGCTTCGTGTGCTAACTTGGGGCGATCTGCAGCCGGAGGTGGAGCCGACGAAGGAGGAGGCGGCGACGTCGTCGTCACCGACTCCGACTCCGAGCCCCGCGGCGGCGGCGCCCAGGGCGAAGCCGGCGGCGAGCACGGGGCTGTGGGACGTGCTGGCGTTCAGCGGGCCGGCGCCGGAGCGGATCAACGGGCGGCTGGCGATGGTGGGGTTCGTGTCGGCGCTCGCCGTGGAGGCGTCGCGCGGCGGCGGGCTCCTGGAGCAGGCCGGCAGCGGGGGCGGGCTCGCGTGGTTCGCCGCCACCGCCGCCGTGCTCTCCGCGGCGTCGCTGGTGCCGCTGCTCCGCGGCGAGAGCGCGGAGGCGAGGAGCGGCGGCGTGATGAGCGCCGACGCTGAGCTCTGGAACGGCCGCTTCGCCATGCTCGGCCTCGTCGCGCTCGCCTTCACCGAGTTCCTCACCGGCTCGCCGCTCGTCAACGTCTAATTAATCAATTAAATTAAATTAAATTAATTAAGCTGCACTGTACACGTGTACGTACAATACATTCATGTACTTGCGTATGTACTGGGTAGCTAGCTAGGCCGGGTTGTGTGTGTGTATACACTGTAGCAAGTAGCAAGCTTGATAGTGCTTGGTGTACTACCTTGGAATTTGAGAAGGGATTCAAAATTTGGAACTCTTGCAAAAATTCTTGAGAAATTTGGATGTTCGACGCAGATCCATATCACATAGAGGGAACCACAACCATATTTATGGACACTATAATTTAAACTCCGGTGGATATATAAAAAGAAGTGTACATCGTCTCAATTATTAATAGGTTTGTACAGAGAAAATATGCATAATTAGAAAGAGATAAGTACACTTTCGACAGTTCTGACTGCTTACATGCAATTGTTTTCTTCTCTCCACTGCCTCCTCTCTTCTGTAGCCTCCACTCTTGCTAGTCTCTGTCCTCCTCCTCAGTACACTCCATTCATGCTTGTTCCTTCGTAACTACATATGTTCGTAACTACATATGTTGGTAAGCATATGTTTAACCACACCATATTTCACCGTTACTATATGAAATCTTATGTATGTGTACTACAAATAAAACTACCATTATTTCAGCCTTTTTTTTCATTTGTTAGATATAATATTGGCCATCTATATAAAAATAAAACATCGCATGAACAACTAATAAATTGCAACTTAAAATCACTACAAATTAATTATAACATTAATTAAATTTTTTACCATATAAATTAATTATGTCTATCTATTTTTTAAACCTAAATCGACTCTAAGTCATAGCACACAAACTACCTCCATTACCATTATCCTACTTAATAATAATATACTACATTATAAATATTTTATATTTATTAACTTCCTATGTTACTATTTTTGCATGCGACGTATAAAAATATAATGTAAAAACTAATATATACCTCTAATTTTCTCCGACATAATTAATAACAAATATTTACTATCACTAATATAAACCACATGAACTAATATTTTCTAAATCCTTCACCCTACAAATTTTTACTAATCAACTTACGTGTAATTTATTTCTTTTATCCACTGCCTCCTATCTTCTGTGGCTTCCTCTCCCCGTGGCTCCGACGCCTCGCCGCCCGCCCGACCCGCCACCCACCGCCAGGCTACCGCCTCCCCTGGCCATCCCTCTAAGCCGGCGAACTCCTCCCCTTCCCTCCCCCTCCCACCCCCACCCCACTCCGGGACCCTAACCCGTAGGGTGTCACTAGTGCCGGAGAAGAAGAGAAGGTCGCCGGAGTTGGAGAAGACCTGGAGCACGAATCTCAAAGCTCATCTGGTTGTCCAAAATCTGCAAGATTTGAGGATACAATTTCTATCGACAGGCGGTTAGCAAATCAGAAAAAAAAATACTGATTCCCGCGACTACTGGCGCACGCCATCTGGATTCTTCCTGAGCCCTTTTTTGGCGGGAACCCCACCCCGACGACGCACGGTGCCCTGGACGTCCACGTCGACAGCCACGCGCAACCTCTGACCCCCTCGCCCTCCACGTCGCCGCCTCCCCCTCCCCCGCCGACGTGGCCGCCGCCGCCGCCGCCACTCCCCACCTCGCCGTCCTCCTCGATGATCCCCCGCCTATTTATACTCGTCTCGTCACCCGCATCATCATCAGCAGCAGAAAGAGTGATCTAGCATTCTAGCTTTGCTCGCCTGAGTTCTTTGCTTGTCCTCACTAGCGGTGTTTGACAGTTTGAGTTGTTAGCAATGGCGGCCGCTACCATGGCGCTGAGCAGCTCCTTCGCCGCCGTCGCAGCCGCCGCTGGTGGCGCGCCATGGCGCGCCGCGGTACGCTTCCCGCCTCGCCGGCGTGTTGCGCTCGTCGTCAGGGCCCAGGCCGAGGTGAGCTGAGCGTTCTTGATTGGTTTCACTGTGCGTGTTCTCTGGTGATTTGCTTCGCGTGCTAACTTGGGGCGACGTCGTCGTTCGATCTGCAGCCGGAGGTGGAGCCGACGAAGGAGGAGACGGCTACGTCGTCGTCACCGACTCCGAGCCCCGCGGCGGCGGCGCCCAGGGCGAAGCCGGCGGCGAGCACGGGGCTGTGGGACGTGCTGGCGTTCAGCGGGCCGGCGCCGGAGCGGATCAACGGGCGGCTGGCGATGGTGGGGTTCGTGTCGGCGCTCGCCGTGGAGGCGTCGCGGGGCGGCGGGCTCCTGGAGCAGGCCGGCAGCGGGGACGGGCTCGCGTGGTTCGCCGCCACCGCCACCGTGCTCTCCGCGGCGTCGCTGGTGCCGCTGCTCCGCGGCGAGAGCGCGGAGGCGAGGAGCGGCGGCGTGATGAGCGCCGACGCCGAGCTCTGGAACGGCCGCTTCGCCATGCTCGGCCTCGTCGCCCTCGCCTTCACCGAGTTCCTCACCGGCTCGCCCTTCGTCAACGTCTAATTAATCAATTCAATTAAATTAATTAAGCTGTGTACAAGTACAGTATGTATATACTGGGTAGCTAGCTAGGGTTGTGTTTGTGTGTGTATACATTGTAGCAAGTAGCAAGCTTATAGTGCTTGGTGTACTACCTTGGAATTTGAGAAGGGATTAAAATTTTAGAACTCTTACAAAAATTGGTGAGAAATTTGGATGTTCAGCACAGATCCATATCACATAGGGGGAACCACATGCAGTGGTAACCATATCTATGGACACTATGATTTGAACTCTAGTGGATATATATATATAGAGAGAGAGAAGTGCGCACCATCTCAATTATTAATGGGTTGTTCAGAGAAAATATGCATATTTAGAAAGAGACGAGGACACTTTCGGCGCGTCTGACTGCTTACGTGCAATTATTTTCTTCTCTCCACTGCCTCCTCTCTTATGCGGCTTCCTCTCCTCCTCAATGCACTCCGTTCTTTCTCTTTCTCTACTACTCAGTATTGTTAGTGAGGACCATCTCCTCTCCTTTCCTTTTATAAAACGGCAACATTGGATTTGTATGAAGAGAGTGGTTATTACGAGCTGAGTAATGGTGGCCGACATGAAATGACGGCACTAACGAAAATGATAAAAGAGTGCACAGAGGTATTTCACCCTGTGCAAAAAGAAAGAGATGGAAATAGTAGAGGGAAAGAGTGGTCATGTTACTCAAAAAAAAAGGTGTGATTGCATGGTTCAGGTGAGGCCGGTGTTGTCCTCGAGATATAAGAGCATGAGTGGAGGTGTTGGTGGCGTCGGTCTCGCACTTCCAAATAGCGATACCGTAGCCATCCTTAGCACCAACAAAAAAAATTCGCAAGACCCACAACTAAAGCCGGTAACGTGCTTTGAAAGAGTGATACCAACGATGTTTTCGCACTTTGAGTGTGCGATACCGCGGGCCCACTCTCCAATCTCCGTGCTCCTCGGTCTCGCGCATCGGGAGTGCAACACTGATACGGTATCGCGCTCTACGCGTGTGATACCGCAGGCCCACCCACCTCCCTCTGTGTCCCGGTAATGCGACAACGTGGATCCCAAAACTCTCTCGGTCTCGCGCTGCGAAACTATGAGACCGTTGGGCCCACCCGCCATACTACCCTCCCAAATCGCCAGAACGGGTCAGTTTTTCCACGTGGCGCTCTCGCTCTACGAAAGAGCGATACCGCAACGATCTCGCTTTTCCCACACACGATACCGCCAACTCAAATGCACCCTCGCTGATTGATAGAGCGATATCGTGGCGCTATCGCACTTTCCCGTTGCGAACCTCGGTATCGCTCTTCCATCCTGCAATACCGATGGTATATTTGTGCAAATGATTCGCCATCCGGTATATTTTTGAAAAAGAAAACGATGAACAGTATATTTTCAAATTTTTTTTCTGCAAACTAACAGCTAAGATAAACAAATTTCAAATGACACTACTTAGGCTTGCATCTTTGCCTTCGTTTTCTTCTAGAGCACAATACTTCCATGGACCTTTTTCTTTAAAAAAAAATTCAAACCTTCTATGGCTCCAAGAAATTAATTTTTATCTAAACGCTATAAGTTTCATGAAAAAATGGAAATAAAGAAGGTAGACTGTAGTTAGTCAGTTATAAGATGTTACGCTCATGAAAGGGCATATAGTCTAGTGGTTGCAGTGACCTGAGTAGCACCATAAGATCCTGAGTTCAAAGCTCCATAGGAGCGAATTTCAGATTGGGTTATAGATTGGGTTATTTGAAGGCTAAGTTTCCTGCTTAATAGGCTAAGTTCCTGATTTAAAAAGGCTGCATATATATATCCGGTTGGTTTACACTATGTGTAAAGCAGCAAAGCCCTGCGATTAATTAGTCTAATTATATACAAGGTGATTCCCCACGCTTTGCTGTGGGAATTACTAAGTAATTTTTAATATATATTTTTTCGTTACAATCAAGCTAGGGGCAAAAAGAAAACAAATGAAATATCAGGGCTTATCAATATTTATCATGAAACAGACAAATGAAACCCACACTTTAATGTGTAACATATATATATATATATATATATATATATATATATATATATATATATATATATATATATATATATATATATATATATATATATCCGGCTGGTTGTATATATATAACTATGTGTAATGCAGCAAAGCCCTGTGATTAATTAGTCTAATTATATACAAGGTGATTCCCCACGCTTTGCTGTGGGAATTACTAAGTAATTTTTAATATATATTTTTTCGTTACAATCAAGCTAGGGGCAAAAAGAAAACAAATGAAATATCAGGGCTTATCAGTATTTATCATGAAACAGACAAATGAAACCCACACTTTAATGTGTAACATATTGATAAGTTTATGTTAAATATTATAAAATGGTAGATAGATTTGTAAAAATATTGTGAAAATGATGTGATGTGTGATTATTGGATATGTTTGCATGTTGATTTGTAGAATTAAATAGATTATAAATGATGTTGCATGTTTTCACGAGGTTGAATATATAATTATTGCTAGTGGGTGATGATATAGCATGGTTGTATGTTAAGCTTTACAGTTAGTGGGTTGTAACTTTATAGAAGTATAAATAAGATGACTTGTTTATACTCCCTCCAACCAAAAGTTTATAGCATATTTCTTGTTTCACCAAGACCAAATAAAAAATTAACTCATTCTATATATAACAAAGAAAAAAAATATGCATTCATGCAACCAGTGTTAAGATGCTAATTTAGCACTTCATTCAAATCTTATATGCATATGGAGACTACAAATATGCATATCTCATTTTCTTTTCAGAAAATAAATAAGCTTTAAGACTTTTGGGTGAAAGGAGCAACAAAAAAACTTTTACAAGAGTTTTAGACACTTAAATTGAAAAACAGTAAAAGATCTCATATATAACATTCCATCGTTATAAAGAGACCCCAGTTTTACACCCTAGTAGCTTAGGTTATCATAATCAAGTTAGTAGCATGCACGGCTGGTATTTGAATCTCCTGAAGATGAATATAAAGATAAATATTAAATGTTTCACGTAAAATGAGGTGGTAATAACGTGTGATTAATTGAGTTTTAATTATTATAAACTTGAAAAATGGAATAATCTGATATTTCAGAGAAACTTTTATATAGAAAGTTTTCAGACGAAATACACCGTTTAGTAGTTTGAAAAACGTGCCACGAGTATCTAAAATTTTATCCTATGCTTCTAGAAGAAACGAACAGGGCAGCTAAAGAAAAAAATGATGGAACAAAACGCCAAACGGTCACTAACATTGCTGTTTTCCCGTCTCATCTCGAATTGTCGTTCTTGCATGCTGAAAATGCTGCCACTTTGTTGGCCATGGAGATGGAGGCTGCTAACTAGCCACGCCGGGGGGCTGCCTGACCTCTTCACGGTGGCCTCGATGTCCACGTTGAGTATCCAATGAGCAATGACCCCAATCACCCAAGCTAGGCTCTATGGGCAGTTTTGGTTTGAAGCTTGTCATAATTTTGTTTCTTTAAAGATGATGGATAGAAATGAGATCTTCAAACTCATTTTGGTTTAAAGCACGTCATAATTTTGGTTGTGTCGCGAAGCGAGCGTAGCTCAATGGGCTATGTTCTTTTTTTTTAAATCTATCCACTCTAATTTAGTTTAAGTTCTAAACTTAGCACATATACTTGTATTTAGTGATAGATGTTAATTATAGTGTGTACGTTTATATGGTCAGTTTGAACAATTTTTTTTTAAAAAAGAATAGTTGTGTCAAATCTTAAGCAAACTTTTAGGTAGATTTGCCCCCAACTTCATAGTCATTCCAATCGAAATGACTAGTCTATGAAGTACAAGAACTGGCAAAAAAAATAAAATAGCCCGATGCGGCGTGACTGACCCAGCCTCACTCCACGTCGCTGGACACCACGTACGATAGTTGATTGTTCATTTGTTCTATCAACGATAGCTCGGTAAAATCGTATTACCACCACGACCAATAATTTGCACAAAACAATAATTTGAATTTCGATCGTTATTTCTGTTTAGAAACAACGACCATTATTGGCTTAAATACAAAACATTAGTAGACTCCACTCTATTATAAATCTTGTGATACAACTCTGATGCTACATAATCATATTACTTAGAAAATGTCATGAATAAGTGAAACCACTGTGTAGCTAGCCGTGATCAAGATAGGTAGTACCAGAGGGCATGACGCTATTCTGGGTATTGATATTTGATAAATATGCAGCGTCTCCTCACAATTCAAGTTTGAGAGCATTTCCCTCTATATGAACTGAATGATCAAGAACCGACATGAAAATGCTCATTAGATAAAACAGTATCAAACTACTGGTTAGCATGGACAATTAAGAAACACGATAATTCCATAGGAGATCTACTCAGCAAACAGTAGTTTGAACAAGCAATACTTCGAAAATGCTGCTATTCTCTAGAGGCTGCCTACAGTGCAGGGGTACATTGTTCAGTTTCTACATTTCTGCAAAAATCAATCAAGTGTGCTCCTGAAAGAGTCTTCGCACCTGTGTACAGCATGAATAGGGACAAATTCTCGAGTTTATCGTCATACTGCAAGAGAAATTTAAGTAATGTATCTTCCTTGCTGCTCCTGAAGGAGACGAGCCGATGATTTAGCGTCCAAATACAGAGCACTGACTTCCTCAAGATCGGCCTGATTAAAAACAAGGTCATGGGTTCAGCATACATAAAACTTGCAAGAACAATATCAGGCTAACAAGTGAATGTAGCAGCCAGCCATAGCCCATACGGCAAAAAAGACAACAAGAGGACGTTACAATATCCTGCTGGAATTTCAACACATACCTTGCTGATCTTCTCTCTCCCATTAGCCTTTGCAACTACACTGGCGGGTGATAGCAACTGAATAGCATGCCTACATGAGATTCAACATGTGTTACAATCGTTCATCTTCGCTAGCTGCCTCAGTAAGATGAGCTTGGTGGTTATAAAACTAAAACTACAAAATTTAAAATGCTTATAGAACACCGAAAGTGGGAAATAAGATCAGTCCACTTAACATAACTCCCTACTGCATAATTTCCATCTTAACTCTCTTTCTCAAACCTGTCGGTGTAACAACCAAGAATCGTACCTCAAAGATGTCTGTTGTCCAATCTCTCCTAAAAATGCGAGACTTTCTTCATCAATGTCAATCTCTTCCACCTGCGCTCTAATAGCAAGTATCTGTAGAGGACAATGAGCAAAGATCAAACACATTTCTAAACAGGAAAGCCTAAGTGATATAAGATCCAAAATCAAACCTGGATCATCTCAGTGGGACCATATGTTTCTGTTCGAATAATCACCAATCTGTCTAGAAGATCAACTGGTATACCATGTGGACTTGTCATATCAGTTCCTCTGGACACAAGCATAACAAGACTTTGTAAACTTTAAGGAGCATATGGTAATAAACAAACTGACAAACACATGATTAGTCTGGTATTATAATGTAGCGCAGAGTGCTTCGACTGGTAAATCAAACTGTTTACCTTACGTTACATATTCCTCTGTTCGTAGCAAGTATCACAATTGGTGATAATGGGCTCTCCAAAGCACGATTAAGATAAGAGAAGCATTCAATGTCTAACATGTGGACCTGCGATTAAAGTTCCTCACAAGTAACTAAATCAAACCACATCAAGATTTATACCATATAGTAGAGAAATAGCATGGCAGTATGGCACTGCCCCACAAGGACAACCCACTGTATGTTTGACAACAGACAAACACACCCTCATTTGTATTTATACCTTCTGACTCCAAAATGAGCCACTGAGAAAATTTCCAATCATAATTCGTAAGGATGAAATAATAAGATACCTCGTCAATGAACAGAACACCAGGTACAAGCTCAGCAATTCCTTCATCAATATATCTGTTAACCACCTAGCAACATACAGTATAGATGTTAAAGATCATATGCCAATCCTGACATGTTTATTAAATGTGGTCCACTTTTAAAAGCAGCAGTGCTGCTACATGGGAAATTTGAATACCTTATTGATTTCTTGTCGTAGCTTCTCAGTGATTTCAGTTTTCCGTGGCTTCATCATCTGTCCCATAAGGGACAAAATATCTTGGCCTCCTTGTGGTTGAGCATTTGCAGCATCAAGGTCATGAAGCGTAACATCCTGTACAAAATTGATAACTGAAGTTTCAGCTCTTTAACTAACATCCATATAACTTGAGAATCATAAACAGAGAGCCTGTATATAACACACTAATGCTGTATAAGGGAACCCATTTTTTTATGCCGGTAGACAGGAATATAACAGTTGAGGGATAAAATAGAAGATAAAAAGGACAAATCTTCCAGTGGGACCTAATTAATCAAACATAATGAACTCCAAGGGTTATAATAATGTAGACTGATGGTCATGAATTTATTATTTAGTAGTGTTTGATTTGTGAACTGTATAAACCATTTATCAAGGGAGGTGTATTTACAAATGTGGATAGAAAAGGGATTAAGACCAATCCTTTTGGCTTTGGTAGGGCGGTTAGTTCAATATCACCTACAGGCCTGAAAGAGTTGGTTCTAATCTGGTAATCCATATCTATTCAGACAAGGTGTGATGGTAACAAAATGTCCCATAGCTGACAGCTCTACTTTCAATCTTCAAGGCATGAATATTTGACACTATACTTCAAATTTGTAAAACACGATCCATTCATTTCTTTAATTATCACCAACATAAATTCATAGATAGTACAATGCAAAAAAGACTTGCCTGTGCAAAAATCTTTTAGGCTAAAATTCACCAAATTACCTGCACTATTTCCTTCTTCTTATGGACCTCCCCTTTGGGGATTGGAACATACTCCTCAGCTTCAAGATCGTATTCTGTAGCAAAAGCATCACATCTACCAACTCTTTTGACCGCACCACTATTAGCTTCAATGTATATAACATCACCCACTGACACCTGCATCCCATGTATCACTGATGTAATGAAACAACTAGTGCAAAAAATGGAAGTAACAGAAGTGAATCTCAGTATCAAGGCATCTAATCAGCTTCACGATGACAAGTTATGAATTTCCAATCATGCAATTTTTTTTTTACAATTAACATTCTCCAAAGTTTACTTTATAGATTAAATATTCACAACAAGACATTCTTCTGAATAAGAAATGAACAATCATCCAACTATTACTAAAATTTCAAAAAATGCACTTAGTGTATTCTAAAATATCCAGCACAAGATAGGAGGGCGAGGAGCAGGATACCTTTTCCTTTATTAAAGCATCATAAATTGTAGGATCTAGCTTCAGTTGCTTAGTCCCTTTTACAGTCTTCAGACCTATGATTACATGGCTAATGCTTTTTCCATATCCACCTGTTGTACTCTCAGCCTCTTCTGGGGAAAGTTCAGTAACCTAAAAGGCAATGAAGCACAAATATATATTATTTTAGAAACAGACAGTGAGAATATCATATCAGTTATAAATGTGCTAATATCAAGAGAAAATGAAATAATGCACAAATTCAAGAACAATATCTTAGTGCAAACTTAAAAATTAGCATATATGGTGTGCTTACCTCTCCTTCGTAGACCTCTTTATTTTCTTTTATACGCAAACCTATAGCTCTACGGAAATTCTCCATTAGCACCTCAGTTTTCTTGACCTCTGAGGAATACACTTCTGATCCTACCATAGGACAGAAAGGGACCTGTATAGTAAAATAATAAGATAACACATAAGATATTCTCCATCAACATGAATGAAACATTGGAAGTTTTACCAAAAATGAAGCAGATGTAAGACATTGAACGAAAAATCTTATAGTTAACACAAAGAATTTCTCATATAGATTGTGAGGTATAAAGTAAAAAAATGTACAGGTATCTAATAAATTGACATCAAATTCCAGTGATCCACCATTAGCAGAATTATTTTCAAGGAAGGGAAACAAATATATTGAACCAGCAAGCAACAGAATCCAAGCCTAAAAGAAATGTTGAAAGCCAAAAACATAGAAAAAAACATGCTAAGTCGACCATTTCTTTAGAATAGCAATTTAGTTAGGTGAATCTGAAATTTAATCCAACCATCCTCCCAACAGTTGAACTAAAAAATAATAAGGCATAGGTTCTCAAATACCAGAAGCTCAATATGAATGCCTTTCTGGAGCTAGATGAGCCCTTATAAATGTAGAATTACTTGTTTACACTAGCTAATGAACAAAAAGGATTCAAACTTACAAAGAAATGGCTTATTATGAACAATTGTCCACGGTGCCCTTATTGCACTTAAACACGATTCATCAGTTTTTATTGGCCACATGCTTTAACTCCATTCAATCTTCAGTAAAGAGAACTATGAAATAGAAGTAAGACCTCTTAAACTAAGTCTATGGTATGAAAGGCAGGAAACATAACCCCTCTATGTAGAAGTGAGGCTTGAACACACACATGTATAATATGTTGTTGAAATGAGGCTTAAAACCAAGGTATTCACAACCTTGTGCGGCCACCATTTCACCACGCTGAGGGCCATCGCATCGACCTCTTGACGAGCGGAAGAGCAAAAATCCCCAAAAGGCAAAACACTTTGTACAAGCTTACGGTGAGCATATGTTGCTAATAACATGGCTTGTTCATTATGAAGCCTAAAATCTAACCTCCAAATTTATTTACAGCAGAGTGTACAAATCATCTAGAGCAGTGCTCAAAGGGTGTTCGAGAGGAGAATGAGGGAGTGGAGGCACCAACCAACCTTACTACCGAGCTCCTGGGAGATGCCGAGAGCGAGAGCCGTCTTGCCGGTGGCGGGCGGGCCGGCGAGAAGCAGCGCGCGCCCGGCCATCTTCTTCTGGCGAATCATGTCGACCACCAGCCCGGCAGCCTCCCTCGCCGCCCCCTGCCCCACGAACCCCGCCGCCAACCCTATCGCCGCCCCATTCGCCTGCTCGAGACCACCAAACCAAGCCAAGCCATGAGAAAATTTTCTCTAAAACCCTAGGAGAAAAACCTTTCCCCACTGCAGCAGCAGCAGCAGCAGCAGCAAGGTGGGGGAGAGAGCGGAGGAGCAGGAGAAGCGCGGGGACGCACGTCGAGGCCGAGGCCCTTTATGTGGGTGTGCGTCGCGATCCTCTGCTTCTTCGTCGTCGACTGCACCTCCTCGATCCTCATCGCCGCCGCCGCCGCCGCCGCCGCTTCCTGTCTCTCCGCCTCCCTCCCTCTCCCCCACCGCAACGACGGTGGCCGGCCGGTGGCGCAGCGACGCACGTGCGGAGCTACGAGCGAGCGGCGGCGCGGCGGCGACCTGGGCGGCGGCTGGTGAGCTGCGACTGCGAGCGAGCCACCGGCGTCGAGAGGGAAGCAGAGGAAGAAGAAGAAGAGGAGGGAGGGGGCCGCGCAATCTAGGGTTCTTTTTTCTTTTCGGGCCCACCTGGTTCGGCCCATTAAAGCCCATATAGGCCCACGACTTAGGACTTAACCCGGCCTGCTAATCCTACGCTATAGCCAGTGCAGCGAGTGATCTCATCTCAAACTCACCATGGCCTCGCCGCCGCCGGAGCGGGCGCCGGCGGCGGAGGCTCGCCGGCGCAGGACGACGGTGTACCACGGCCACCGCCGACCGTCTCCGCACCGCCCCACCGTCCGAGGCGGCGTATTCTCCGACCTCCGCGCCACCACCGCCGCCTCCTCCCAACCGAGGCCTCCCTCCTCCTCCTCCTCCTCCGCCCCATTCCGCCTCGCCGACTGGGACCCCTCCTCCTCCTCCTCCTCCACGCCTTCTCCTTCCGCCACCGCGGCCGCCCGCCGCCTCTCCCCGCTCGCGCGGTTCCTCCTCGACGCGCTCCACCGCCACCAGCGCTGGGGCCCGCCCGTCGTCGCGGAACTCACCAAGCTCCGCCGCGTGGCCCCCGAGCTCGTCGCCGAGGTCCTCAGCGCTCGCCCGCCGCCGCCCCCGCCGCTCGCGCTCCCGTTCTTCCTGTGGGCGGGACGGCAGAAGGGCTTCCGCCACTGCTTCCCGGCGTTCCACGCGCTCGCCTCGCTCCTCTCCGCCGCTGGGCTCCCCGCCGCGGCCGACCAGCTTCCCGACCTCATGCGAGCCCATGGCAAGCCGGTCTCGCATTCCCAGCTCAACCTCCTCGTCAGGCTCCACACCGGCGCGCGTCGCCCGCTCCGCGCGCTCCACGCCCTCCGCCGCTTCCGCCACGAGTTCTCCGTGCAGCCTGAGGTCCACGCCTGCAACCGCGTGCTGGGAGCGCTGGCTGCGGCTGGGCATGTTGATGATACCCTCAAGCTGTTCGACGAAATGTCGCACTGCAGTGTGCGGCCTATGCCGGTGACATTCGCGATCATGGTGCGTGCGCTGGCGCGGGCGGGGATGACGGATAAACTCCTGGAGATGATTGGGAGGATGCGGGCTGAGGTGTGCAGACCGGATGTGTTTGTGTACACCGCACTGGTGAAGACGATGGTTCGCTGGGGGCATATGGAGGGTTGCATCAGGGTTTGGGAGGAGATAAGAAGGGATCATGTGGATCCAGATACAATGGCTTACACCACAATGATAGCTGGGCTATGCAATGCGGGAATGGTGGAGAAGGCAGAAGAATTGTTTGGGGAGATGAGGAGGAAGGGTTTGCTGGTGGACAGGATGGTGTATGCGTCTCTCATTGATGGGTATGTCTCCACAGGAAGGGTCAGCGATGGTTGTAGAGTGTTGAAAGAGATGGTGGATGCTGGTTACCGTGCAGACCTGGGGATCTATAACACACTGATTGGCGGGCTATGTGAGATAGAGCGGGAGGATAAAGCACACAAGATGTTTCAGATTGTCGTTCAGGAGGATCTAATACCAAGCTCCGAGACTGTTTCACCATTGCTGGCTCGTTATGCCGATAAGGGCGAGATGGTTAAGTTTTTTGGATTGGTTGATAAACTAGTGGAGCTAAGCTTGCCTATAGTTGAAATTTTAGTGGACTTCCTGAAGCTCTTTGCATGCAAGAGTGGCAATGAATTGAAGGCTGTGGAAGTTTTTAATGCTTTCAGAAGAAGGGGGCATTATAGTGTTGGCATTTATAACATTCTCATTGAGAATCTGCTGAAGATCAAGGAGAGGAAGAAAGCACTTGTGTTGTTCGAGGAAATGCAAAGTTCAGATGACTGCAAGCCGGACTCATGTACATATAGCCATATGATCCCATGTTTTGTGGACGAAGGAAATATTGAAGAGGCTTGCTCGTGCTACAACTTGATGATGAAGGCAGTTTGGATACCAAGCATTTCAGCCTATTGTGCTCTTGTGAAAGGGTTGTGCAAAAAAGGAGAGATAAATGCAGCTATTTCACTTGTTAAGGATTGTCTTGGGAATGTGGAAAATGGGCCAATGGAATTCAAGTACACCTTGACTATTCTTGAAGCTTGCCAATCAAAAAGCCCAGAGAAGGTCATCAAAGTGGTGGACGAAATGATTGAGTTAGGTTATTCCATAGAAGAAATTATATATTCTGCTATTATTTATGGTTTCTGCAAGTATGCAAGTTCAACTGAGGCAAGAAAAGTACTATCTACCATGAGAGATCGCAATATTATTTCAGAAGCCAATTATATTGTTTATGAGGATATGTTGAATGAGCATTTGAAGAATGTCACTGCAGATTTGGTGATATCTGGATTGAAATTTTTGGATCTTGAATCTAAATTAAAATGGAGAAGCAGAGATGATTGAGAAATCTTTGTACAGTTGCTACATACTAGGTACAACCTGCTTCACTTCACTTGTGATTTGTGCTATTTAGATATTGTATTATGTGTTACCTCTTGTGAGTTGAACATTGCATTATGTAATAAATAGTCCTAAACACTTCTAGGGATCTCATAACCTGGTTATTCCATGGTATGTTTAGCTAGAGTTGATATCCATGGGCCTCTGGTTTGTACCAAATTATGGATAATTCATACTTCATACTGATCCTGATCATTTTTCTCAAGTATTTTTTTTAAGAAAACACAAATCTGGTATTCCACCAAAAAAGTCAACATGTGGGAGTGGACGTGGATGAGTTTGGGAACCCTTGTTGTGCTTATCCCTCCATAGATTTATCATGAGAAAATTTAATGATACTGTAGTATGTAGAACATAAGTATGTATGTTACTTGACAGACAGTTATTTGGAAAATTCATGCCTGCATAATGTTGTGTAAATTCATGCCTGCATAATGTTGTGGGCATATAGGAGATATTGAGTAACCAATGATGGTTCTCACAGACTCACACAGTCACACTAACGAATGGGCCTGATCACTTTACATTATTGGTGACATTATGCAGAGAAAGTAGGTAAAGGTAGAAGTATACAAGTTCTCTAATGAGCAACGACGGCACTACAGATGAATGAGCCTTACAGCATAGGTGTTTTTTGTTTACACAATTTGGAGGAACAAGCAGTGTATACAACCAGTTCCTTCTGAGTTTGTAGTTTGAGCAGGCCAACTTGGTCTGAGGCATGTTAGAACTTAGAAAGATGTGAGTTGCAAGCTGAGAAAATATGATTTGAGTACTGATTAGCTAACCTCAAGCAGCTTGGTTCTTGCCCTCCCATATCAAGTCCCGATGCTTAATAAAAACAGAGTGCATGGTTTCCTGCCGTTTAACATTCATTGTTTATTTATCTTCAATTTACGAGCTGGTGTTGAGAGCCTGAACTAATGGACTAATTTTGTGAGTCAACTCTTCCATGATATGTCCTCCGTTTTAGTATTTAGGATTCGACTGGACCATTTATGCAAACACACAACACTGACACCTATGTCCCCAGTTGGCCAGTCACTTGGTTAATGGTTACATAAATCCATGCACACCCTTGCTTGTAGCTAAGTATTATTTCATTTTACTTTTAAATTCAAGATTGCCAATCTTTTGTGTAATTGCTAATAGCAGTACTGTATTTTGACATAGCAGAGATAATTAAAGCAATTTTCATCGTTTTGTTTTATCATGTCTCAATATTTTATGCATGTATGGTAAATGGTAATGTGCCTTCATCCCTGTATCCTACTACATATGTTGTACCATTAGCAAGTTAAAGAAACACGCACACCAAAAAAAAAAAACTGACTCGGTCCCTATATATGGGCAAGTGGTACTCAAATGAAGTAGTATATCAGTCCCAACTTCTTTCAGGACGGTAATGATAGCGTTTCATTTTACTGGGGAGCTGATTCTTATCAGTGACATGACACTGTTGAATCTTTAAAGGGTGTGGAATCTGGATCGCTTCCTCTCTACATTCCTTTAAGGTACACACTACCAATCGTGCAATAGGATCTGCAAGTATTGTTATAATTAGGTATCTGCTCCTTATTACCATGTTAAACCTCAGTAACTTGATCAGGTTTCTTCTTCACAACCACCCCTGGAGAACTAGCTTCCTTAGATGAGGTGAAAAAGCCAATCCAGCCAACTGGTCGTACAAGTGAGATCCATCTGGTGCAGCCTGGAAGGTTGATGGCTTGATACAGAGGTAAACTAGCATTAATTCTTATAGTTAATCTTTTCAGCAGTACTCCGTTATTCTGTCATCTACCCTATAGTTCACCAACACAGTGTTACATTCATCATTCCTCATTGATCGGTCAGGATCGTCTCCCACAGATCCGATGCCCCAGGTCGCTCCCACCTCCCTCACGGCCTCACCCCATCAATCATGCGTCACAAAATGTGCTCTAGCGAGAGATCATTAGACTAGAATAGTTCATTTCGGTCATGGAACTGTACTTCACCTTCTATGTTACAGTGGTACTTTGATTATCAATTCCATTTGGTACTCATGCCGATCCAGATTTGGTGCTTATCATTTTCATTTGGTACTCATGCTTCAATAATTCTTGCTTTGATGAATTGTTGCTGATCCACATCTTTCATGATTAATGTAACATAGTCTGTAGTAGCAGTTTAAAACTGAATCAGTAGCAGTTTAAAATTGGAACCAAGCGCATTCTCCATGGGATGCCTTAAATGACTGATTAGTGCATGAAGTAGGCTTAAATTGCAGTCAAAATCAGTATAATGCGTTAGAAGCAGATGATTTCTAGATACTTTATTTAAGGCCACTATTACAGTTTAAACCATATAAACTAATAGGAAACCATTTGCTCTGAGTTGCCATGTCTTATAAGAATGCGTTGCTGTGAGATGCTCCGGAAAAAAAATCTTTAACCTTTCGGCATAATATATTTTTAACTGAAATACTTTACACATGCATTAGTTATGTCCTCTAAGATCATGAAATTCAGTTTATTACTGTCCATTTATGAATATTCCAACTATTTTGCCAGATGATGAAAAGCAGCTTGAGGTTTTGAATCTATGCAAGTTTGTTCTTACTGTTCTGATGGTACACCTTATTTCAGGTACCTAAAATTGTCCTTTTATTCAGTAGTCCTTTCATTAGGTCAATAAGCTCCTTTTTTGTGTTGCCACTGAGTGTCCTTCATTTGTTGTTAGAGACTACAGTCCGAAATTTCTGATTATTTAGGCAGTTAGAAGTCCCGAGCAGCGGCAACCGGGTCTCGCCCAGCCTCCGCTCCCAAGCTTTGAGATTTGAGAATCCCGGGTAGGGGCAGTGGAAGCCGAGGGTGCCACCATCCATAAATTTCTGTCTGTAAATTATCACACTTTTTAGGACTAAAACTTCGGTATTGTGAAGGAAAACAAGAAATGATATTTATTTTATGCCATTCTTTAAATTTTGGTATCTAATATGAAGCTTAAAAAACACGTGCGTGATGTATTTTAAATTGTATAATCTATATTATCATATATTGTTGTCATAGCGTTAGCACGAGCATATTACTAGTCTTAATAAATTCATGACATGATCTTCCCTCTTCTGAATATGTAGTTTTTCTTTCTTTCTTTCCTTTTCTTTTTTCTTACTTCAAGAGATAAATTGTAGGAGTCAGCATTACATTGCGTCTCGTCATCAATGATATGTATTCAACCCGTAGATGCGCATGTCTTGTGTTTTTGCAATCCTATTCCAAGTCGATCAATAACTGCCTAATAAGAAACCAATAGATAGGCCAATCATAGTGCTATTTAGCCATCGCTGTGATATAATTATAAATTATGCTTTCTTGTTGCTTGTCTGCTTTGCACTGCAATTAAGATGTCATTGTTGGAACAGAAACTTGTTTGCCGGGGCACACAATAATTTAGATATGAAAAAAAAAACATGTGTCTTGTCTTGTTCTTTGCAGTGTGATTTCATTTCAATTCGCCGACTATATATTTCCTGAAGCCAAGAGGGGCAATCAGGCGCATGCCAGACATGGGCATAACTGTTGGCATATGGCGTTAGGTATAACCGTTAATGCATCCTGACGCCGACGGGTTGCTGTGGATGTCTGTGTACATTCCTCTTGATTGTCACCAATTATTTTCCAGCATGGGGCGTCCTGATGTGTAAGTGGCTGCATTGATCGTTGATGCATGCATGGACTTTGTTTTGTAGTGTTGGATAAATTTAGGGGCTATCTATGCATTTGTTTTCTTCTGCATTTTTTTTCTTCTTTTTATGTTTGTGTAGGCCTTTATGGTTGGAACTTTGAAATGTTGTGATTTATGTTGATGTGTTTTGGAGCACCTTTCAGAATTATAGGAGCGGTGACTGACAGGTGACGAAGAAAGTACTTTAGGTTCAGGTGGATGAGATGAACTGACCTTAAATAGATATGTAGACCCCAGTGCATTTTCTCTCCTCGTAGTTTCATTTTTCTCATCGAGGCTATATTTGGAACACAGGAACTCCATGGAAATTTTGGGGGGAATTGCATATATCAGCTCATTTCCTATAGGAAAATGGGATCAAAACCTCACAAACACATCATTCTAGTGGGTGATCCATAGTAAGCTGAAGTTTTATGCTTCTGAAAATTGGTAGAAATGCGACATCGATGCATTCTCAATAAGAATTTCTCGATTTTATTAGTTTCCTTAGTATATTGAGTGTATGTTAAAAAGGAGCCACTTTTGCTTGTGTGCGTGGTAGAGTGTGTGCATATGTATTTGTCTTTCATGCAATGAAGAAATGAGGGGAAATGGCCAATATTGTCCTTGAAGTTCCATTCCAAGGTTAGTCTAGTCCTTAGCGTTTTTATATTATCCATACAAGTGTTTAATATTTATCATATGACCTAATATCGTCCTTAGGCCCACATAAATGACCACTTGCGCGTACCATATATCCTCCCATGCGAAAAATGATGATGAAATGAAGTAAATTGGACCCATCATATATAGATTTTGTATGGGAGATGATAATGTGATATAACCGTGGTGATTTCGATGGCGCAAAGGGTTATATTATGTGTCATGATAAATTTATCGGTTCATTTGGATAATATAAAAGGCTAGCGACTAAATTAACCTGAGCTGGGACATGCTATTCTCCCAAGAAAAAAAAAAGAGTCGATGACAATACACTATTTTACTGCAGATTGACAAGATATCAACGTTAACTACAAATGCAGCTAAGGGTTCCTTTGGAACGTAGGAATACAAAAACACATGAATAGAAAAAAAATGTGGGAATCGAGGTGACATGTTAATTGAATCCTTTGGAATTGTAATCTATAGGGATTGTTAAAATTTGCTGTTTGGGTCCATAGGAAAAGTATAGGATTTTAGGAGAGAGGTTGACATAACAAAGTTCCCGATGAGGTCCAACCTTATTTTAGAAATCCTTCAAAATTCCAATGAATCAAGCCACTCCATATGAATTTTGTAGGATTCTCAAATACCCTTCCAAAGGAGCACAAAGGAAAATTTTCCAGGGGTTTCTAATCCTACAAAAATCCTCTATTTTTCCTTTGTTCCAAAGGAGCCCTAAACAAACGGCATGGCTGGTGAGCTGTATACACTTTAATCGTCCATGGATGTACGTACGTTTCACCGTATTTCTACTTATTTTTCTGACAGGACACATGTACGCATTCAGTAGAGTTATAAATATGTACTTGTACAATAACTCCATGAGTGCTATACTAGCTCACGAGAAAGCTCGAAATGGTTAGCTTGACCAGCTAGCTAGCCTTTTTGTCAGTTTTTTCTAGTATGTAGTCCCTCCGTCCTTTAAAAAGAAAAACCCAACTTAAAACTTGGATGAGATAAAATCTAGCATAACGAATCTAGACAGGCTTTTAGGTTGAGTTTTTTTTTTGGACGGAGTATATAGCTAGCTAGCTTTAAATTGTGCCAGCCCATGCTGCTGTACATACTGTTTGTATATTCAACACTCCTTGTGCATAAATTAAAAATGCAAAAAAAAAAAGCAATCTTGATTCCTGTGAGAAATAAACTGAAATTTGTAGATAGAACACATGAATTTCAAGGATGAGTTCTATTTATAAGGTTGGGGAAAAAATCATACGGCCTTAACCCTAAACCACATTATCCGTCGACCCATGTTCAGCGATGTAAATAGGTCAACCCATGTATCCGTAAACCACATTAGTATTTTTTTTCCTTAGTTATATACTAAGAATACATGATTTTATAAATATTCCTTTTGTAAGGTATTTTTGGGGCCATGGGTTATAAAAGCCAAAGACACATAACCAAAGCAATAAAAATAATTGTCAGGTAAGACTTCTATACTTCTACTCATAATGGTCTCAAAAGCCAGAGAATTGGATCACAAAAGTGATAAAAAAAATAAAATTAATTCTACAATTAGCCGTGATTTATAAGCTGAATTTGGAACCAGCATGACTACATTATTCATGACATAATAATACAACAATTAGTTTAAAATTGGAACATGTACTTCTTCCCCAACATGTTTCCATCCTAACACCATATGACGGTTAGGAACTCAACTTTTCGCTTATGATTATGCTTATCAACCAGAATTTAAATTCTTAACCTTAAATTTGAATTTGATTTTGAGGTTTTTTAATCGTAGTTTATTTTTCAGCTTTTACTTTTAGATCGTTTAGAACATTTATATAAAAATTTTATTCACAAATTATTTTTTATTTGCAAATATGTCGTTTGGCTTATTTCACCAAACATCCAAACGATGGGACTGTTAGTCTTTTTCCAGCTTAATTATTGTGTGAACCAACAATAATTACACGTTTTTACGGCACCACAATTTTTTCGATTAAGATGTATATAAACAACTGGATGTAGTCAATAGCCGTACCTGTACGTGAGCTACCCCTACCGCAATTAAATTATTCTCTTCTAGCCTTTTCTTTTACTATATCTTTTCTCCTCTCGTTAGTTATGGCTCTTATTGTTTTGCTTACGTTTTTACTTATAAGTTAAATTTTGAATTTTAAAATTGATTTTTTTTCATCGTAGTTTATTTTACAACATTTGCTAATATACGATTCGGATAATAATGTTTACTCATAAATAAATTTCTGTCTTTTAATATACGATTTGGATAAATATATGAATAAGCGAAAGCTCTATTTATTATATATAGTATATATGCGACGAGTAGTGGCACATCTCACACAGATCTTCACATGCAATTGAGTAGGACTGGCATAATGGGAAAAAAATTAAGAATGTACACCCAACTTTCGGCTGTAATAGACAGGGACATAGAATCTAATGTATTGTACACTCAAATCAAATGGTTAATCGATATTCAATCAATCATCGGTTAATCAATTAATTAATTAATTATCCCCTCTAGCTAGTTACTCCAAAAAATCTGCTGATGTGTATCGTCAAATCTGGTCATACATTAGTGTAATCTGGTCTCAAAAAATATATCTAAAGAGAGATAAAGTAATATAATTACACAATCATAATTTGCCCAACTAATACATCCGTAGTGACGACGATAGTGTGGACTGGTCCCACATGTCATTCAGGCGGTACTCGTAATAATTTCAGTAAGATAAAATATCTGCGGTTCACTTCGCCATGCATATCACAAACCTTGCAAGTTGCAATCTTGTATACTATAGTATGAGATAAAAACAAGAGAGAAATTTGCAAGATTAGTATTTATTTATGACTTTGTTACTTCTCATTATCCTGGCTAGCATCAAAAGCTTGCAGAGATCAGACCCAAGATTTGTCTAGCTGGCTGCTCCAGACTGATGATAATTAATTGGCTCCATATAGCTAGCTAGCTTCTCCTGAACATGCTAAGCTAGCAAGAACACCCTACAACACCTGGACAACTGGATATCAGATTTTATTGATTGAATTAAAGACAAATTAAGAAGTTGGAAGAAACTAACCATTCATTATATATATATTTTTAGATAATAACCATTCATTATATATGTTGATGATGCAAAGAAAGAACTCCTTATTAGTCTCTCACACCTGTTCATCTTCAGATCTTGGCTTGCTAGCTCATGTGATCTTCACACCTGTTTCATCCTCAGTTCTTGACTCTTGCTCATTTGATCTCCAATTAATTCATGGATGCTCAGCTCCCAAACAAAACATCTAAGATTTGATCGATCCTGCAAGATTAAAATCTGCACACAGAAGAATATATAAATTTGCATGTAAGCCTCACACCAACATATATATATGAATACAATCTGGCCCTTTAATTTTGTGCAGCCACAAGCAGATGAAACTGCACAGCATGATCTGATCTTTGTTTTGGCAGTCAATTCTGCCCTCACCTAATAAGCACTCATCAGATCATGCTGGCAGCTTCAGCTCCTAATGGTTGCACCTCAACAATCAAGGCTGTGTTTAGATCTAAAGTTTGGATCCAAACTTCAGTCCTTTTCCATTACATCAACCTGTCATACACACACAACTTTTCAGTCACATCATCTCTAATTTCAACCAAAATCCAAACTTTGTACTGAACTAAACACAGCCAAAATTCACACACACACACACACACACGAGAGAGAGAGAGAGAGAGAGAGAGAGAGAGAGAGAGAGAGAGATATGAGAGGAAGAAGAAGGCTCTGAGAGGCTTTATATAGCAGTGGCTCCAAATTACTCTGACCGACCAGTACACACTTTGATATAGGTGGTTATATATATGTGTATATATGTTTGAAGGATATATATATAATACGGCTTAGTTATCTCTAGCTAGATTGATGTAACAACTAACTAATGTGGTGGTCCCATTGCAAATTTGCAATACACTGTGTCACTGTCAAACACACACTAACCACCACCTTTCAGTTAGGGTTTCTAAAATATATTTTCTGTATACATGGATATAAATGCATATATATAAACAATATTGGCCACATGAGCTCTATGATTTTAGTCTATGCATTTAGGGCCATATTTAAATTTTTGGAAGTTTTTTTCGGGTCCCTAGTGCCAGCCAACCACCACTTGAGATCTTAATCATACATAGTACTTTCTAGTCTTTTGCTAAGCTATTCTCATTTTGTAATAATTTGTTGATGAGCTAGCTTTTGTACCATTTTGATAATTTTGATAATTAAGCCAGGGCCATGTGTAAATGGATGCTGCTCCCAAAGTATCAACAGGTCAAGCATTTGGATCTTGCATGGAAAGGTCTTGGTGATTTGATATAATGAAAATGTATTTAGTTTTTTATTTGTCTGATTCCTAAGAAATTGCTTTTGAATTATTATTAGCATTGTCTTGACCATATATATAATTAAGCAAACAATTTTAGCAACAAGCTAGGAAAGCGAGATGCATATGCCTGTGAAATGAATTCTATCACCTGTCTGGTAGCTGGCGTATTGTGTATCGTGTGATCATGCATTGCACACATACATTAGAAAATTTAATGAATACAGATTAATTAATTTGTAATATATAGCTGGCATGTAGTACACTAGTACCTTGCAGAAACAAAAATATGTATATTAGTATATAACATGTGTGTGCAGGAGATCTACACGTAGTACATGGCGTGCAAGGCTTGCACTACAGTTTTTATCTTAACTAAAAGGTATAAATTATTGGAGATGCATGCATGATTTAATAATTGATTAATTAGTGGAGTAGTTGATTGGATCACTCTTTAAAATTATACTGTATGTAGGATGTACTATACGTATATTAACAGTTGTTATGTTGTACTAATGTACTATATAATGGCACCAAATTTGGCACCTCAATTCTCATAGCATGTGCTTGTGTGAATGAGTTGTCTCTCGATCTAGCTAGCTAGGAGTACGAAAAATACTCCCATTAATTAACATCGACAAAATACTCCCGTTAATTCACCATCTACAGGTTATACTCCATCCATTCTAAATATAGGGTGTAGCTATATTTCTTCAATAGTAATATAAGATATGCATCCATGCATACAATTAATTAGTATTTCTCCTCTAAATTCATTTCTTTAAAAATTCTCTATGCTCTTGATCTCTAATCCCAGTGGGGACATGCATTATAGGACATGCATTATATTTAGAGAACTTTTACGGTACAACATACTACCAGTATATACTGGCAGTATATAGAAGGGCATGTTAAGAATTTGATAGAAAATAAAATAACACTTTAGTAATTTTTGGTTCAGATTGAATTTAATTGGGAGTAGCCGGTCCTGGATCTTATCGTGCACTAGGGGAGGAGCATCTTGAGCGCCATTTGATGATGAAGCACGTGACGATAGCACGATTTGATGATAGAATAACGAAGAAAAGATAAAATTACCCTTTCAAACTTTATACTGCTATCTAATTAACTAAAAAATCCAATCAATCTACACTGTTAGATCATATATACTAGCAGTATATTGTACCGTAAAAGTCCTCTATATTTATTGGGGTGATAATAATTATTTCTTGGTCTTTTAACTCTTTATGTTAGTAGTAACGTCATATATTTTGGAGTGGAGTGAGTATTAATTAAGTATGTATGTATGTACACTAGCATATATTCAACAAATATAATCAATCTTAATGCAAATGATAAACTAATCCGAAGCTGTTCAAGCTATTCTTAACTTTGATCAAACTACTATATCTTTTACATGCATATATACATGCAGACAAATATGTATATGGCTCAAATTCTACTACACAACAAATAATTAAGCATAAGTCTATGCTGACTGAGAACAAAGAGGACAAGTAATCCCTTGGCTGCATGTGTGGATCAAGAGTACACACTACAACAAAGTGAGGTAAAAAGAATAAATATACTGCAGCTTTGCAAGTATTGAAATATATACAGTGCAACAAAGTGAGGTAACATGTACTTCATCTATTCCAAAATATAATCATTTCTAGATTCAAATGTGTACACTTGTGGGGTGTTGATTAATTTCAATGCATGAAAACATATACATTTTCAGTCAGTAAGATGCTTGGGAAGGGAAGAATTAATCTAAGTAATCCAAAACTTAATAATTGTCCAAAGTGACTGAAAGAAAATATTTTCCCTCTGTTTATATTTTGGAAGTATATGCACATACCCCACCATTGGAAGAAGAATGCATGCAGCTAGCAAGCACAATCTGTGCCTGTCTTTCATGTGTATTTACACACGAATTAAATAGGTTAGCTGCAGCCAGCATGACCTAGCAACAAGGCATGCAATGCATATGATCCCCAAAAGAGGCCACATGACCATAAAATTCTTTTTTCTTGGTGATCATTTCATAGCTAGCTAGTACTCCCTCCGTCCCATAATATAAGGGATTTTGAGTTTTTGCTTGTAACGTTTAACCACTCATCTTATTCATTTTTTTAAAAATTATTATTTATTTTATTTGTGACTTACTTTATTATTTACAGTACTTTAAGCACAACTTTTTGTTTTTTATATTTGCAAAAGAATTTGAATAAGACGAGTGGTTAAACGTTGCAAACAAAAGCTCAAAATCCCTTATATTATAGGACGGATGGTGTAGATCATATCAATGCTGGCGGCAGGGCAGCTTCACCCATTCCTTTGGGCAGTTCCAAGATTGTATCACAAGATTAATAGATTAATTATACAGTATATACACAAGTACTAGGGAATCACATGTTCTCTTCTCACTGCTAACCAGCTAGCATCTGGGACCATTCATGCATGGGATCTCTAAGAAAGACACTGGTGACTAGCTAGCTAGCTCCTATGAATTAATGCCAAATTATTTCTAAGGTGATATATAGTTTAATTAATTTAGCACTGAAAGGTTAACCTGGGCGACTTCGATCTGGTTAAAAGAAAAGGTCGATAATTAAGCAAAACTGAAAGAAATGAGGGCAGGAGAGAGATTACATAGAACAAAAGTACAAGGAAGAAAGATTCCAAGAACAATGTTAAGAAAGGAAAAGGAACAAAATAAAGAAGGATCTACCTGCACTCAGTATGATGAGGGGTCATTTTGGTTTGATGCCAAAATTACCCTACCAGATTGTTGTCATTTTGAATAGTAGTTTAGTTAGTGTTTAGTTTGTTACCCAAATATACCAATAAGATACATAAGTTGCTAAAAAAATTAACACTACCAAAATTTACTTATGTTTTGGTATTGCTAATATTTTAGTATGGTAGCAACAAACTAAACAAGTCTGATATAAACATAGTGCTCCTACATGAGAGTACTCACTCCGGTTTCATTTTAATTGACGTTTTAGACAATGACATGGTTTACAAGATATATCTGTGACTTTGTTTTTCTATTATAATATATATAATAAATAAATACATGTTTATTTTTATTATAGTGCTTTAAAAGACAAATCTATATATGTTATTTTAGTTCCTTTAAACTAAATATTTTTAAAGTTATTGATAGTCAAAGTTATAAAAGTTTGACCTTAACTTTGTTCAAAATAATTAATATGGAAGAGAGAGTATGCAGCATCTTCAATTCATTAACCTGAGGTAGGTCTATCTAGATAGGGAGAAACTGCCAATGAAGAAGACTAGCAATAGAAGGGATCCGTAGTATAGCTAGCTAACCCTAGATGCCTAGCTAGCTATAGCTATGTCTAGACAGCAAGCATAGGCTGCTGCACCACAAGAGTGAAAGGCTGTGGATATGTGTTGAGCTGTTGAAGATACTACTACATCTCAAAATATAAGTGTTTAGAGTTTTAAAGAAGCTTAAATTGATCGATAATATAATAATTATGATTAGTTAATATGAGAAAACTATTATGTGAACATTTAACAATAGATGGTTGTTTAGTTGAGATGACAAAAGCATGCACTACTACAGAACCACATATCGGTGCCGGTTGGGACATTGAAAGCGGCAATGATTAGTCCGCCGACACCAATGTCAATCTTAAAAACCGGCACCAATATAAAATCAATGAGCCAAAAAAAAACGGCTCCTCGAGCCGACGCAGGAGCCGATACTTCGATCCGATGAACTCCACATGAATCCACATGATGAATAAGAACAACACATCAATTCTCATTAATAAATCTCAGATGAACTCACATCGGCACATCAATTTCAAGAACATCATCTCACATGAGCAACAAATGAACTCTAATAAGAACAAATCACAAATCACAAAGAGAGAGGGAGGGGGAGAGATGGATCCACCGACGCCGTCGCACCTCCTGCCGCCGCCACCGTCCGACCACCTCCCGCAGCTGAGGGGCGCGGGCCGCCTGCCTCCCACCGCTGAGGGGCGCAGGCTACCTCCATCCAACCGTCTCATGCCGCCTCCCGCAGCTGAGGGGGCATGGGCCACTTGCCTCCCACCGTCACCTAGAATAGGTGCTGGTTTTTGACATATTAAAGGTGTCAGTTTTTTATAAAAACCGGCACCTAATAGGTGCCGGTTTTTATTTAGAACCGACACTTATAATTGTTTAAAGATGTCAATTTTTTTTTGTGATTTCAATCCGCGGAGGTGGAAAAAAGCCTATAGTGGCGACACCTATTTGATATTTTGTAGTAGTGATGTCGAAAAGTTTGGTAGTAGTACATTTTAGGATACATTTGGAATGTTACATTATTGTTATACTTTAGATTACAATAATTTCTTTTAACTTTAACACAAAACATGGAAATATTTTCCATTGTGATTTTATGATAGCTATTGCCACCATATATGCTTGCCTACGCGATGGAGCTGGCCGCGTACGTATAGTAATAGTTTGCATGTTGGGAACCAAATTCCATCCGGTTGTAATCTCATGAATGGATGAAAAATATGGGGGGTATGTTTGTTAAAATTCTAAACGGTACAAGTTTCGTAAAAACTATTTTTTAAATAGCTATTAATTAACTTTATAATAGTTCATTCATACATTTCTATTCTCGGATATCTATATTCCTTTAAAAAGGAACAGTGATCGTGTATGCTTAATTTGACTCTCATACCATCATATCACCAACTCTCCAGTATTTTTTTTTCTATGGAAATGATATTATACGACCAAATGAACCACATGTTACCGTCCCCCATCGTCAACTTCCTACTTTTGTGATGAGAAAGAAAAGGATAATATAGGTTCAAACCTGAGGACTCATATTTTAGTAACAAATATATATGTAGAAATTAAGAGATGATATATAAAAAATGATGATAATTATTAATTAATGATTTTTTTCCTCTTTTAACTAAATCTTATTGCAACGCATGGGCAATGCTAGTCATCACAAAATCAGATAAACTATCATCTATTCGTCCATTTCAGCACTTTAATTTGAACGTGGTTACGACAAAAATATATATGTCGACTACACATATCTTTTATGGTGCCAAATTATTCTTCTAGTTGGTGGAAAGTGAGATGATGCTAATTTGGCTTTGGTTGAACCTGGCAATGATGAATTAAAATATGACCTAATTACCAAATGTAAATTCAATTTTGAGTTTGTATACTAGTAGCTTGTGGTAGCCTTTATTTGTGCATATTGGCCTATTGGCCACAAATTAAGCAGGACTTTTCTTCACTGATGAACTGGATGGTGGCTGTAATTTCATACTCGTATCTTCATGTGAGGTTTAATTGGTTGTTAATTACTGCATCAAGGAACGATGATTTGGCACGGATCGGTAGATCGATGCATGGTCAAATTGACCCTGGCCGACAAGAGGTTCAGATGAAATCCTGACAGAACATACTGTACTCCTAGAAATGACAAGATCTTGAGACTCGAAACAAAGGCCTCTCAAGTCAGATCAACAGCTATCGATCCTCCCAAGTCAGATCAACAGCTACTCCGTACTCCGTATCGATCATCGATGAGATACTTGGATTGCATTGGGAGCACAGCTAGCTGAAACATTTGACAGCTAGCTAAAAGGATCAGTACTCTTTTACTGTTAATTTCGCTAGATATGCAGGAGTAGCATTAGGTAGGTACAACAGTCTAGTATCACTTGTCTCGTCGACTATCTGCTGCCGTAGCTTCTTCCTTTTGTCCGGTCAATGGTGTGCATTCCCTGCATCGCATTGGTGTGCATCGCAATAGTGTTCATTGGAGTATGATTGCGCTTCCTCCTTCCCTCCCCAACTATAAATATGTTTATGTTGTTTACTTCCTCAATACTAAAATGGAGTAAGGTCGAGTTTAGTTCTAAACTTTTTTTAAAAATTTTTTAACTTTTTTATCATATCAAAGCTTTTCTACACACAAACTTCCAACTTTTCCGTCACATCGTTCTAAATTTCAACCAAAATTCTAAGTTTAACGTGAACTAAACACACCCTAAGTTCATTTTTCACTCTTCTCATACATATCAATGCAAAAACAAAAAATAATAGAATACCCTAATATAACTATTCATCACTTTATCTACTCCAAATATAACTATTCACTACTTTATCTATTCCCAATATAATTGTTTCATACTTTTACAAACTCTGATACAATTATTACTTAAAAGAACTTATTTTGGAATAAATAGATGGAGCTAAAAATAAATTTATTATGGGACGGAGGTAGTAACAATAAAGGGTTAGGAGAAAACATTTTGATGCTCCTTAATAAACTTAATAAAGAAGGGATAAGTATAGTGTGAGTGTGATCGGGGATAAGATGCAAAATATTTACAATTAAGTGCAAGGTGATTAATAAGATAAGCATTCACTCCATCCCAGAATAAAGCTCCTAGGAGTATTTTGAGGTAATTAAGGATTGTGGTGAAATTATTCTCATTACTAGATGGTGGGGTGATGGAAATTATAAATATTATGGGTGGAGGGCAGGTCTCAACGGTTGCTGGGATGATGAGCGCGCCAGGTAGCATGTGAAGTAATGGGGTAAAAATCACATTTTATATATTCTATAATTAGCTATATATGGGGTAAAATTTGAACTTAGTTATATTTTAAGATGGATGCGGTAGTATTTCGGAGTGTTTATATTTTTGTCAATAAATTTTAAACTCTTGATATGCTTGTGGTACAAATTATTTGGCTCAATCGGTGGAAGCACAGGCTAGAGGGCTATGCATGTACACCCTCCGTCCAAAAAAAAAAAAAGCTTAATCTAGGAAGGGATATGACCCCTTATAGGACAACGAACCTTTTGTTGTTCTAGGGGTCACATCTTATTGTCTTAGGAGGGAGTCACGTTCCTTTTTAGGTTAAGTTTTTTTTTTATGGATGGAGTAGGCTAGATGGCTATGCATGTACGAGTAGTATCCTAGCTACACTATCACTACTGTGCATGGAAGTATTGTCACATCGACGGCCAATTAAAGGTTGCATGGCTAAACTTTAGTACTCATTCCAAAATATAAGTCATAATCACCCATAATACAAAGACTAAGAAAATATTTAATCACTTTCTTGGTTGGAACACCTTGATACATGTAAGCAATATGATTGGAAGGTTTGATGATATAAGATTTAAAACAAAATAATTTTATAGGACTAAAGGATGATAGTTAATGTATGCATGCATGCACACCTTATATTATGAGAAATGAGAGAAAAGTGGTTGTGTCTTATATTTTGGGTTGGAGGGAGTGAATTTAAGAGCAAAATAACAGCACAAAACATAACACTACAAGTATTTGTGGCCATATGCATGTGTGTTTATTAGTACTTGGCAAGCAAATTTTTAAGGGCTCCTTCGACACGCATGGTTATCAAATACGGAAATAAGAAAAACATGTGATTAATAATTAAGATGTCATGCCACTCTATCCGTACTAAAATGTACGTAGCTGTTTCTGTTTTGCATTTTGTAGCTATTTCATGTTAAATACAATTTTGAGACCGAGGGAGCATAAAACTATATGAATTTCTCAAAAAGAGTACTACTCCATTAATTTAATTGGTTTATAACTCGAACATAGCGTTAGTGATAAGGTTTTAAACCCCCTAAATATGTACTTTTGTGGTAATCTTATTGCCAGCCATGTAGTTTTGCGATACTTAGCATTAAACATGTAGTTTTAATTTATTGTTAAATCCGTAGTTTTATAATACACCATCTTAAATATATAATCCTTCCATATTTTAATGTATGACGCCGTTGACTTTTTAATCAACGTTTGACCACTCGTCTTATTCAAAATTTTTATGTAAATATAAAAATACTTATGTCATGCTTAAAGAACATTTGATGATAAATCAAGTCACAATAAAATAAATTATAATTACATAAATTTTTTGAATAAAACAAAAGGTCAAACGTTTGTCAAAAAGTCAACGGCGTCGTACATTAAAATATTAAAATATGGAGGTGGTATATTTTGCGATAATTCATTAATTTGACTGAAATTTCGTGAAATTTACTCAAACAAAATTATCACATCCTACCTAGGCCCATCCCATCTGGCCCGGCCCACTCCACCTCCCTCACGGCCTCACCTCGATACATGCGCGAATACCACCACTCCCCGACCTTAGCCCTAGCCGCCGCCGCCGCGCGCTCCCCTCCCCATCCCCTCGCCGCGCCGCGCCGCCGGCGAACCCCCCTAGCGCTAGGCCAGCCGTCGCCGCGCGCCCCGCACCCTCTCCTCCGCCGCCGGGCCTGCCGCCACCACCGCCGCGAGGCCTCGGTTGGTATCCATCTATCTATACTATCTATATCTTCTTGGATGGCAGTTTTTTTTTATCGAGATGTGTTGCTAATGGTGCTGCGTTAGCACGCCCACTCGCGCGCCCGCAGGTGGTGGTCGAGGACGCCATGCCCAAGGCGAAGAAGAACCCTCATGTCTTCTTTGACATAGCGATCGGCGGACGCGCCGCTGAGAGGATCACATTTGAGGTTGGTTGGTTGGTTGAGGAGCTAGTTTGTTCCAGCATGGCTAGTTGCCTACCTGGTGTTATTGTTTGAGTAATCGTTGCTGCCTGGGCTAACTTTCTTTGCCTTCGATTTGCAGCTGTTTGCGGATGTCGTTCCGAAGACCACGGAGAATTTCCGGGCTCTCTGCACGGGTAAATTTTTACTCGTTTGATGGGATATAAGTTGCGTGTAGCGGATCAGTTGTCGCTAGGAAATTTATTTGCGCTATGCGACTTGTAATAAACCTTAGGTGATGAACAATGTTTTATGATAAGGATGCGCGTGAGCTTTTCTGCTCCGCAGCTCTGTTGGGTGAATTTACATGAGTGATGAGGCACATGCCAGTTCTGAATGTAGTATATTACAATGCTAACAAGTCATACTCAGTTTTATTATCTGCATGCTCGTGTATGGTAATTAATATTGTTATCTAAAGTAGAATAGTGGGAAAAAAGTCTCACTATGTTCCTTTCAATGGTTCTGGCATGATTTGTTCTGTTATAAAGATACATTATTCTTTCAATGAGCAATTGGCATTTAGTTTGGTCAGGTTTCTTGTAAGTCATAGGCTTATCATTTCAGTACTATGATAGTTTGTATTTAAATGATGTATTAGCACTGATTTGCAACCTGTGTGACCTTTTATATCCACATGCTCACTTTTTGGTTGATATGTAGGTGAGAGAGGCCTTGGAGTATCTACACAAAAGCCACTTTATTTTAAGGGAACAAACATGCATCGCATTCTGAAAGGTTTTATGGCTCAGGTACTGAAAATTAAACCAAATGATCCAAGTCCTCTGGCCACTGCATATTTCTTTGTATCAACTCACAGTATGTTTTTGTTCTTTTATGGGATTTCAAATGCTGAACTCTACATAATTCTAGAATGTAGATATGAATGGCTTGCTAGTTATACAGCATAATCCCAGATTTTTTTTTGTTCCATTTGCAGGATATATCTACTCTAGATTGCATTCTAGCATCCATTTTTTCCCTAACTATACTCATCTTATCAAAATTTTCAACTGCAGGGTGGTGATTTTTCAAGAGGAGATGGTATTGATTCATTATCCCAGGCATCTTCTTTCAACTGACTTCTTGCTGTTGTACACTTTATAAGCTCAACGTTACATGCTGTTTCCAGGACGTGGTGGAGAGAGCATATATGGTGCAAAATTTAAAGGTTAATGACTAATGAAATTTGTGGCTGCCATAGAATTTTTTTAATCCAATTAGTGTCAAATGCATTAGTATGCTTTCGCTAAAGTTTTTGTATGTACTTTCTGGTGTTCTACAGATGAAAACTTCAAGTTAAAGCATGACCAACCTGGTGTTCTTTCCATGGCAAATGCTGGACCAGACAGTAATGGATCCCAGTTTTTTATAACATTCATGCCAACACCACATCTTGATGGGTATTGCTTCTTTCTGTTAGTCAGTTGGCAATTTTCTCTGTTAATCTCTCTTCTAGTTCCTTGTGCATATTAAGTTATGCCTTTCTTTCTTTCCTTACTGCACAAAGATATAGTACTTGATATCTACCAATACCAAAATTTAACATTCTAGAGAGATTTAGTCTATTAAAAAACCTTGAATCTAAAAATTCTGTACAACCATGAAAGATCAATTAGCCTCATGCATACACACATAAAAGTTGCCATTTGTTAAATAATATCTTATAAACAGCACATTTATGTCTATGTATATACAACCATAGAAAACTCTCTGGAGTGGGTGTGTGTGTAGAACACATCATTAAGCCCTACTCCTTTCTTAAATGTGTCTACAAGTTGTGTCAGGTAATGGTTGAGAGTATGTGGTGGCTCCAACACAGTGTATGTTGCCCACAGAAGTAATCAATTTCCTAATTTCTATGGTGTTTTCCTGTGGATAAGAAGTCATATAACTTCCTTTTACCAATGGCTCCAAAATCTATCAACTTCAAATGACTTAAAATTATAATCGTGTAGCAAACATGTGGTCTTTGGGAAGGTGGTCACTGGAATGCCCTTGCTGAAGAAGCTTGAAGCGGTAGGTTCTGATACCGGAAAGCCTACTTGTGAAGTGAAAATCGTGGACTGTGGTGAAGTCTCTGATTCCCAGAATCAGCTAAAGGGAGAGAAAGGTAAAAAGCAACATAAACAGATAATACCAAACAGTCCATGTGTTGTCTGGTTAGCTTTCTCACTACTTGTTCTTTTGCAGAAAAGAAGCTCAGAAGAACAGAAGACAATTCTGCTGCTGAAAAAAGGGTCAAAACCCAAAAACCACCTACTCATGATAAACAAAAGAAAAAGAGAAAGCATTATTCTTCTGATTCCTATAGCTCAGATTATTCTGACACACAGTCCTCAGATAGTGGCTCGGAATCAGAATCATACTCTTCGTCATCATTGGATACTAGCTCATCCAGCGACCACAGACACAAGAGAAGAAAAAGTTCGAAGAAGGATAAACACAGGTCTGCAAAGGGGAAAAGCAAACACAAGAAGACTAAGAGAAAGAGTAGAGGAACAAAAAGGAAATCCAAACGGTACGTTGATGACCTGTATGATCTTGGTAGTGTTATTAGCTTATAATGATGTATTTGCTGAAAGATCCCCTGTCTGGAGCTTTTTACAGAAGCTACAGGAGCTCAAGTGATGATTCAGATAGCTCAAAGACAGGCGGCAGCAGTTCTGACAGTGAAAGTGAAGGCCGTCGTACGACTCGTACCAAGCATTCCTCGAAGAAAGGTAGGACAATAGAAGAGTCAATTCACATTCATTTGCTATGAAAATCCTGAGTAGTCTAAAATATGCTGCTTTGATTGAACTGCACAGATTTCTGTTCTGCTTGTTAATACTTTGGACTCGCTGTGATTGTCCGTGTTACTTTAAATTTTCTCTGCCTGTTAAATTTTCTGTTTTGTGGTTCAAAAGGCTGACTTTGTCCACTGCACTTGCTAATCCCTGCTTGCGACCTGTCCATATCTACTTTTTTTCTGCAACTAAACTATCTATTCTATTCTGATACACAGAACAACTTATGTCTGCAACTATTTTTTTGATTCTGTTTACCACTCAAATTCTTTAAGCATCCACATAATTGACGATACTCTTGGCCAACCTTTTGTTTATTATCATTTCTTGCCGACCTTAATTACAAAATCATTCTAGAATACTTTGAACTGATTCTGAATATGGTAAATGTAGAGTTTCATCATTTATATTTTTTAAATTGCTAACAAGGTAACATCTTTCTAATTTATGACAGAAGTTACCATCTTTGACCTTGAAGTTTTGCCTGCTGTGTTTGGTTATGACGTATGTTTCATGGAATGTGTTGCATTTAATTGTTTGAATGTACTGAGATTGTCTACACAATTTTGAACTAATAAGCAGCTTTGTTCATAGCAGATCCAGATAACACCAAAACTATAAGTTTGGAGAAAGATAGTACTTTGGAAGATGCAGATAAAGGCAAACAAACAGCTACCCTTGACAACATATCAAATGAAGGAAGCAAACCCTCAAACACAGATGGAAATGGGGCTGGTATCAGGTACGAAAATCAGAACTCAGAAGATAAAGCTAGTAAATTAAGGTTTGATTACTTAAAACAAATTACTTACTGTCAGGTTCCTTTCAGTACTACTCCCTCCAGTCACAAATATGTGACTTTTGGAATGCGTGCACCGTGCAGTCAACATGTTTAAACTTTGACCATCAATATTGCTTTGAATATTTTGAATTCAACTTTTAAAAATGTTATGATTATATTTGTCTTAAAAATAGTATCAAAATATTATACCAGTAATTCCTAATAAAATAATTGTCTTGATGACTGTGTCATTGTGCAAAACGTCACTTTTTTGTGACTGGAGGGTATTTAGCAGGGATAAAAATGTCCTGTTCAACATTGAGATAACCTTATCCTTTGAGTACCCAATTGAGATGTTTGTTTGTATTTGCAGGGATGATCCTGGTGCGAGAGCTAGGAGCAGTCCTATTAGGGCTGATGCAAGTTTAACAAAAGTGGATGGCAACAATGGTGCTGATACTGCAGAGGCTGGTATATCTAGAGCTGAACCTGTGCCAACCAATGGTAAAGATTTAGCAATGGGCTCTACAGACAACGGACAGCCTCAACGTGTCAGGAAGGGGCGTGGTTTTACTCAACAATATGCATTTGCACGTCGATACAGGACACCATCTCCAGAGCGTTCCCCTGTTCGGTCTCGCTACAATGATGGAAGAAATGATAGGTGGAATCATTTTAATAGGTACTGCAGTTAGATTATTTACCACATTTTTTTAAAAAAAAATGATGATTAATTTAATGTTTGGATGCCATCATGTGCAGGTATGGAAGAAATGGTCCCTACGGTGCACGCTCACCAGTAAGAAGATATCGTGGTTCCCCAAGAGCCAGTAGTCCGTCCAGGTTGGTATTCTTCTGATTATCCTTGGAATCTCCTAGTGGTCAGTACCAATTGATTGGGTAGAGTGGATGAACTATTTTGAATATAGTTGTGTACTCTTCATGAGTTCATGCCTTCTTTGGGGTTAACAGTGTAGTTTGTTATTATTTAGTACCATAATACCCGGGGTTATGTGCAACGTGCCGAAACATCTGATTTTGTTCAACTTGGACCATAATAGTGGGGTTTTATAAAAACTTTATAAAATTTACTCATAACTATATTATGATGCCTTCAAGAGTTTAGTTAATCTGAATATTACCCAAGTTCATAACTTGCTTTCATTGCCTTATATTTCATGCCAATTCTTCTCTTAGGTAGATAGCAGAGGCTATGCATGGACAAACCTCAAACTGGGTTACATGTTAACATAGATACAGTATATTTTGCTTAGATCAATCAGCTTTCTTGCGTGATTCAAATTCACCAAACATTTCCTTTTTATCCGCTTCCCTTTTTTACCATTGCAAGGCCATGTTACTTTAGCAATGAGCTATACATTTTTTTAAGAAACTCTGAACCATTGCCCAGATACCCAAGGAGAGACCGTAGCAGGAGCAGGTCACGCAGTCCATTGAGGTACCGTGAGCGTGGAGGATATCGCCGCCCCAGTCCAAGGCACAGCCGCAGCCGCAGCCCAGCGGAGCACCAGAGGCGAGATGTAAGAAACAGGCTTCGATCAGGTCGGGATGGTGGTGGCCCTGATCACCGTAATAGCAGCCCTCCTGTCAATAGAGGAAGGTCAAGATCCAGGTCGAAGAGCCGTGATCCCTCGAAGTCCAGATCACCAGATGCTCCTGCCAAAAAGGGGAGCTCAAAATATAACCGCAGGCGCAGCAGCAGTTCAAGATCCAGTAGCCCTGCTGGAAGTAAAGGCTTGGTTTCATACTGAGATGTGATATCAGAAGTTGAGGTGATATCAGGAGTTGAAAACCCTATGTTCCATGGTAGCTTGGTATTGAGTACTACCCTTTAAGAATGATGATGTAGTTAATGGCTTAATGTACTCTTCTTTTGTAACGTTTCTCATTCAGAGATTGTTGTTTTTATGCATCTTCTATTTGGATATGATATTTAGACTTCTAAGTTCTAAAATGCTTCGCATCATAACCTAAGCATAATTTATAGGTAAATCTACCCTTTGTCGTCTTTTTATGATTGGAAGTTTGTAGTCTCTTGTCCTATTAAAGCCTGTCGGTAACTTTGTTTAGATAGTCTCTTGTCCTATTAAAGTCTGTTGGTAACTTTGTTTAGATATTTGTATTGGCACGTTTCTTGTTTTCAACACGAGTTTTTCCTCTGTTGACAAGAAAAAAATGAGCTGTGAATCTGTTAACTGTTATATTCATATTCCTGCATTCCAGTCGAGTCCATGTTTGTTTTTCAGATCCCTTAAATATTGCCTCATTTTTATTTTTGACGGTTCATAAAACCAACAAGGGAACAAATGAAGCAAGCTAGAGAACAAAGCATGCCATCAGCACCCACAACACAACATGAACACGAACATTAGACCATTGGAGTGTTCAGTGCCTAACATGTAACAGAAGCTTAACACAACACAACTTTCCCTGTCATTTTGTCTGACATTGCTTGGCAACTTGGCATCAGGTAACAGTTAAATGGGCTTGGTCCTTTGGGACAATCTGTTCTTTGATCCACATGGAGACAGGTACCAGCACAAGTAAGAAGCACAGATCATTTCGTTTTGTTGGCATTGCTTGGCATCAGGAAACAGTTAAATTGGTTGGTCCTTGGGGACAATCTGATCTTTCATCCACATGTAGATAGGTACCAGCACATAATAAGAAGCGCAAATCGTCCCCATGACGAAGCGGAAGATGAAGGTGAAAGGATTCACTGGTTTCTCAACATCTTCAGCCTTTGGACCAAGCTGCAACAAGAACAAAAGGTGAAAAACCAGATAACAAAGCACATCAGTGTGAGCTAGCATGACACAGAACTCAGGTGTGTTAGACTCACTGTTAACAAATTTAGGTGCTCTTAACATTTGATGTTTGTAACAAGAAAGCAATTCTGAGTTAATATGAAGCTAGAACACATTGAGATGCAAAGAATACCTGCAAAGGGGAATCGCCAGACGATCGCTTCACGCCTGTCACAGAGCACCCCATGATCAGGCCATGGCGTCGAACACCGCGGTACCATTTGGGCCCAATTCTCTTGATCTTGACATCCTGGAACCCTGCCTTCTGGAACCATTCTATGTACTCTTCTTCCTTGGGGAAGAGCATCCACATGTCGGCGAAGAAGCGTGACAGCCAAAAGGTTGGGTGAACCGGGCCAATCAAACAGGCAACTCCACCTAGCTTCAGGACCCTGTAGGCTTCCCTGATTCCTCGTTGTGGATCAGGCCAGTACTCAATGCTGACAAAACAACACCATTGGTAAGTATGGCATCAAAACTGATCAATGACCACATATGACTAAGCTTAAAAGTAAATGAAACACAGGTCACTGATGACCACATGCATATTGCTTTCACATTTCAGGTAATAGATTCATTGGATAGGAGTGATACTTAACATCTTCACATGGACAATATAAGTCAAAACAATCATAAGAGCCAGTATTATCATATTAACAGAAATCTGATCCAACAAATATATAAACATCTCATCATGGACACTTGAATCACTGATAACATTAACCATTTACTAGAAACCACACTACTGCAAATATATCCAAACAGATGGTTTTGTCATGGTGTCAACGCTAGATCACATAGAATTTAACAGGTATTTTCTTTCATTGATACAGAAATCTATACATCAATATCAATTCAAGGATATGCAATGACAAAATAATGGCATTAGTTGATGATAGATGAAAAAAAATGTTATTGTACAGTTCACATGTGAAGTGTAACACATTCACATTAGCAAAGAGAAAATTCTTGACCAAACTTAAGTTGTGCCCACACATACCGTATATTGGTTTATCCTAGTAAACACAACCAAGAATGAATTAACTTCACAATCCTGAACACATATCTATACAAGACAGCACATAAAATGTTTTATATTTATTTTAATAAATCCTGCATCTTCTTATAGCCAAATTATAAGAATGATTCTGTGTTGCTATATGTCCTATTAAACACGACAGAATAAACCTTCATGGGTTGCTCATGGGAAACACAATTGAGAAAATACCGTAAACTGCAATGCAAAGAGGACATTAGAGAATCACCTCCCAGCAGAGACATAGCGATCAAATGTGTCAGTCGGGTAGGGGAGGTCCTCAGCGTCACCCTCAATGATGTTCACCCCATTCAGTGCCACCTTCTGCCTGGCCTTCTCAAGCTGGTGTGGAGACTGGTCTAGCAGTGTGACATTCTCATTGTCCACATGCTTGACAATCCCCAATGTGGTGAACCCAGTGCCACCACCAACATCGACAACCTTGAGCCCATGGTGGTAGAGTTCAGCAGGCTCCAATGCATCATCCCTCATGTCCTCGGTCCAATGCCCCGGGTTTATGACATGGTCATACACAATGGAAAGGAACCTATAGAACCAGAATGCTTCCTTCTTGTGTTGTATGAACCTAGGTTGTGATGCTGGCCTAGCAGAGGAGACCGCGCACTTTGGTGCGATATACTTTACCCTTGATCTCACACCACTTCTATTTCTCAAAGGAATCAAACCTATTTTGGAAGGCCCCAAGAATCCTAATCCACCGGGAGCTCTAAATGTAGAGGAAGAAACCATTTCCTTCATTGTTGTTTGAAAACTTGGATCAAATCACGTATGGCTTAGTGTATCGTTGGGCAAGAGAATACTGGTTTTATGTACGAAAGAATCAACAAACAGGAATGGACTAGGTAGCTCCTATGCTTCATTTGTGAGGTTTCTTGGTAGATTTACAATGCAAATAAATAGAAGATCAGTAGATCACATATGAGTGCCTGTACGATGCAGGAGAGAGGGAGCTAGTTCTTGGCCATGGTAACCTCAGCTGCCAAGCCACAGGAACTTGAGAACATGCAACAGCCATGTATGTAAGCATGTGTGTGTGTGTAGTCGTGTACAGTATAGACCTTTTTTGTGATGCAACAAAAGGCTTAAGCTTCTATTCCATCAGGAATTCAGGATGCTGATGGCTTTATTTGTCTTCATCTCCTCTAGTTGCTCCATTGATGGGGACATGTGGGTTGGGGATTGTAAACCTATGGATGACAATTCTGGACAGGAATGTATGGGGGACTTGCTACTTGGCATCTTGCAGTCCTTTTAGTTCTCATCCAAACATTACACCTAATTTGTTTGGTTTATGCTACATAAACAGCTTTTTTTTTGGAATAACACAAATTCAAAATGAAAGTTACAAGAGCTGCCCATAACAGTCTAAAATACAAGTATCATTTAAAGTACCCATAATTTTCAGTTCTAAGGAAGATTAACAGCATATGTGTGATTACACAATTACTTCTGCAAGTGAAAATATTTTATTGTGTAAACTTATGGATTTCTTTAAGTTCACAAACTAAAATGGGTGCAAATGTTACCAACTTACCATAGACAAAACCCATATTTTGGTAATCCTAATCCACATAATCCAAATTGATAGGTATACACCTCTCAACTCTAATGTGGACAAATAAAACATGTTTATAGATCTTGCTAGTTAAGTAAAAAGAAAAGGCTAACAGTGACACCTTTCTGCTTTTAATGATCTGTAAATGACTATATATCTTTAGTGCCATAAAAAATTCTCTATGAGATAAATATATAGGTCTACGACCAAGGAGAACTCATGATCAACCAAAGTAAATTGAGCATACCTGGTCAATGTGAAGAGGACCATGAACAACACTGGAGCAGAAATCAAGCAAAGAATTATATCGCATGAGCTCTGATGAAGATATACATCACATGGGTACATCACAGAAGGGGCAGCAAATTCATTTATAATTGATTTACCATTACTCCAAAGAACGTCAAGGTGACTTCCTTTTTTACATTCACATGGCAAAGGTAGGAAATAAAAAAATGTGTAAAATTGGTTAGTGCGGAAGTTCCCAGGAGCTAAGATTGAATTTGTACAACTATATCATTCAGAGTGAAGTAATACTTTTACAGGGCCCTGGAAGCTGGGACAAGTTTCAAACATAATTCCTCAAAAAGGTAACTAAAATACCACTTTCAGATTACTTGTTGAGACTATGGAGGATCATTCAGGATTTAGTAGAGTGAATTGCAGCTTGGACTGTCTCTTGTTACCATAGTTTCACTTTGAATCCGCTTTACCTTTTGCTTCACTTTGAACCCCCTTTTTCTTCTTCTCCAGCTCTGGAAATAGCATTATCTCCTAGGTCACACCACTTCCGCGGTTCTGCAGCCGCTGCCATAATACTGGCAGTGGATATGTGCCTGAGTTTGAGGAGAAGGGCAAAAAAAAAGGGGGGGGGGTGCAAAATGAAGCAAAAGGAAATAATAGGGGTCCAAAGTGAAATTATAGTAAGAAAAGGGGTCCAAAATGCAATTCACTCGATTTTAGTATACAGCCAACCAGAATCACTTTACTCCCTAAACAGCTAAACACCTTTAGATGCTGCTCCTTCTTGCTGATTAGCTTTCTCTGCTTCAAGCTTCCTTAAAGCAGATGAACTCAATTTCTCACCCTCTGCTCCTCCGGATAGAAGATCAACAACCTCAACCTGCAATTGAGCTCATCAATATTTGGATCACTATGAAGCATATCTTGTACTTGTACCAGGTTTTTTTTAAAAAAAAATAATTCTAGGGAGTATGAACACCACACCTTCAGCAAAGGTAGTCCTTTCTCTTCTCTTTTCCTATTTACGGCAAATCCACCATTTAATGTCTCCTTACTGAACATAAGCAGCATCACTAGGTTAAATGAGGAAAAACAAAAAGGAGAAAATTTAAAGTAAGCACGAACAACTCTACATTATTTAAGCATGGCATATTTCATACATTTTTAATATAGTTCCGTAGCTGTTTGATGAATGAATTTCAATTTTGGTCAGAACACATGCATGAAGTAATAAAGGGAAAAAAATTACAGAGACTTAATATCAGATAAGAGATGATCAAATTGTCCATACCTGACAATAATGGCATCCAACTTATCATCAATAATGGATGGGCCATAAGGATCCTCAATAGGCTCCACTTGTACTACCAGTTCTGGTTTAACAGACTGCATTTTATACAAAACCAATCATGAGCTTTCAACAAACATCATAATTGAGCATCCCAGAAGCAGCAGTTTCACTTTTGGCAGCTCCTCCTAAGTATGAACATGCTTAATTGGGTATGTACTTATGTGAAACTGATAACCCTTACAAGTTTTTTTTTCTTTTTTTTGCGGGGAATAACCCTTACAAGTTAAGAAGCATGCAATTCCAAAATTCTATATTTTTCTAAAATGTAGACGACTAGGAACAGGTCTTCAGTACAAGGAAGTTATGGAACAAATTTCGCAGCAAGTTGGTCCTAAATTGCCACATAACTCTTCACCAAACCAATTCACTGTATAACTTCTTATTACTCACCTAAAGTAATGTGCCACATGAGAGAAGCTAATTCTCATGCGCGAAATCTAAGGTTTACTGAATTGTCTTTGTACCAGAATAAATTATACACCGCCTCCCAAATCAACTGAAAATTACACCTTTGATTTCCTTCATTTTTGGAAGAGAAAAGATTCATCTTGTCACAACGTCTCACAAACAGCAATAAAAAGCAGCTCAGTAACTTAATTCATGCAAACTGCTTCCACTAGTCATCACCCAATGTTCCAATCCTTTGTAGGAGTATTTACTAACAGAAACTATATACTACATAATAAAGTAGGCAAGATTATCCCCCACCTTGATGTAATCCTCCACAGCCTTCATGCGCTTTTCGACGGGCTCGATCAACTCAGCGTACTGCAGGCACACACACAGAGGGTGGAAATCAAGAACACAACCAGCAGCTAGCATCACAGCTCCAATAACCGGTGAAAAATGGTGTGTCATTTCTACCTCTTTCTTGGCGAGCATGGGGCCTGTGCAGACGCCCACCACGATCCGATCCCTCGCCAAATCCGCCGAGGCCTACACACCCAACAAATCGAAAAATTCGTTATTCCTCAAAGAGGATTAATACTAAGCTCGGTTCTTTAGGAGGAAAATAAAAATAGAAATCCTCTTCTTTTTTTTTTCTCAAGCTCGCAGCACCGCACCTTGAGGAGGCGACGGTGGCCGTCGTGGAGGCGGTCGAAGGTGCCGCCGAGGACAACCGAGCCGTACGGCGGAGCATCCTCCTCCTGACTCGGCGGCGGCGGCGCTCCGGCGAAGGTGTCACCGGCGACGGGAGGAGTGATCATTTTCTTTTCCTACTTCAATCTGTCCACCTCTGCATGCTCTGTCCGGTGGAGTAAAGGTGGTCACCGGTGAATACGGGATCAGAGAGAGGCCCGGGGAGGAGGCGGCGGCGGCGGATCCGGCAGCGGGAGGCGCCGGAGACGAGGGAGAAGGGCGGTTTTGCGGGGGAACTGACCTCGCTGGAGGAAGAAATGGATGCGGGGCGGTGGGAAGGAGGAGGCCGGCAAGGGGAGCGGCGACGGCGAGCCGACGGGGTCTCTCCGGTGATGTGGGCTGAGGTTGCCGGCGATTGGCCGGCGGCGCGAGAGGAGGAAGAGGCGAAGAGCACTTTCTACTTTTGACTTTTACCCTTTATTTCGTTTGTTTATTTGTTTCTGTTTTTTTTCTCTTGCGAGGAAAAGAGGAGAAAACGTACACGTGGACGGTCCAGATTGACTGATTGACTTCTTTAGAAAGAGAACGTATACGCACGGCTTCCAACTTCTTCTGCCGTGGACGGTCCAGATTGACTGATTGACTTTGTTTCCTAGAACTCCATCCGTCCCATTTTAAACGCAACCATAAATTTTCGCGTCCAACTTTGATCGTCCGTCTTATTTGAAATTTTTATAGTATTTTTATTGTTATTATATGATAAAACATAAATAGTACTTAATATGTAACTTATGTTTTTTAATTTTTTTAAATAAGACGGCGATTAAAATTAAGCACGAAAACTTGGACGGAGGGAGTACCACGTAGTCCAAGAATTTCTTTATTCCACATGAAATGAAATTCTTTATCTCACGCTTGGTGTTAAATTTTTTGAAGAGGAATCATATTTTTCCATCTTTTTTCTCGGTGTAGCTCTATTTTTTTTCTAATTCTTTCAGTAGTAGGTGATAAATCCTTCCACAGCGAAGCACCTGTAATAACTTCATCAATCTCAAGACATATTGGTCAATCTTTAAAAGTGCTAATAGGGATAGGTTGTAAGTGTGTGCATGGATAGCGGTGGCCGGTGGGTCTGCGCGCATATGGACACCTATATCTATATTATGTTTAGAAAAGAAAAAAGAAGAATCTCCCACCTAAACTCCGCTTGATTCTCATCTCTATAACCAAACAAGGGGTGTGTTCGCTACCAGGGGATGGGAACGGTGTACAGTGCACACGAAAAACGGGGCGGTACATTAGCACGCGATTAATTAAGTATTTATTTTTTTTAAAAAAAATAGATTAATTTGATTTTTTAAGCAACTTTTATATAAAAACTATTTAAAAAAACACACCGTTTAGCAGTTTGAAAAACGTGTGCGCGGAAAACGAGTGAGAGAGGTTAGGAAAAGTAGCATCCGAACACACCCAAGGTCATCAACTTTTCTCTTAATCTCCCAATCCCCTTTCCCAAACACGATTCTCAATCTCTATAGCAAGCACATCAACTTCCTCTAATAAACTCCTAATCCCCCTTCCTCGAAGTTGAAAAATCGAACATGAATTTTTCATCAGAAAAATAATTTGAAAATTTATTTTGAACGCATTACTATTGACGTGAAATTCGTCGCACACGAAGACATGGGAGATCCGCTTAGCTCTAGTGCAGGTCATATCAATCGGGTTTAGGGCGTGCCAGTAAGTTTGATACCACAACTGACAGAATAGATAAACAAAATTGTACCAATAAACCAATCGACCGATGTTGATATAGAGTAGTAAATACAAGATTACGGCATACATCGGGCTAGTGGTCCGATGTAAATCAGATGAAGCCAATATCTGTCAAAGCACTTATATATCGGCTAGAAAACCGATGCTAGTAAGGTACATGCAGATAAACATAAATAATGATATCAGCTCTATCCAGCTTTCCGAAGGGACGAAACCTACGAGCTATCAACTTTCGTTCGGTTACTTGATAGATCGGTCTGAACCGAGTTGAAGTTAACAAACTAAACCGATAGAAAATAGATCAGTCGTACTACGGTCGTAGATCGACTAGATGTAATATAAAGATAACTTATCGGTTAGCCCTCCAATAAAACGTAGCACAAAACCTATCAACTTAGCAAGACTTGATTATCAGCAACAATCTAGAGGATCAGACCTAACCGAGACAGTACGAGATCACATCTAATAAATAAACTATATAAACCGATAGATCTACACAAACGTGATGTATATAACAAATCAATTTAAAACAACGTACGCTTAGAGAAATATCAACTTATCCAGAATATCAGACCTATCCGAGAAAGTCATAATTAAGCTGATACGACTGTAAATAGCGATGCAGTTAAAGATAGAATTAATATATCTAATATGCAACGCTTGCATCAACTTGGATAGACTATCAGACTTAATCAAGAAAGTTCTAGCCACACCGATACAGGCGAAGTTGATAGAACTTACTTCCTCACTGGAGATCGAACTTAACCGATGTAGCCCTACTCGAAACTAAGAACTCGTTGGAATAAGGGTGGCAATGCATTGAAAGTATTTGTATTGATATGTGGAGATAGACTAAAAAAACCCGGGTGTACATATTTATACTCTCAGGTTGATACTAGTCCTGATCGAATACGATCATGCTTAATTAATTGATAGAATTAAACTGCCATGCCATGGTTTCACGATTCCTTCATGAACTCGGTCTCTTCTAGATAGGCTTCTCTCAGCTGATCGACTTTTTTGGTGTTAACAATTACACATAGGCCCTCTAAACTTCGCCGAAGCTCACATGCAAAATTTGAACTTCAGGATATGTGGATACGTCTACTCTCTCTCTCAAAGGAAGCCCTCAATCTTTTTGTCATGAATAGTGACAATAACAATGACAATGGACCACCACTTGATAGTTGAACACAAAATCCAAACATTTTTTTTCTCATTGAGAGGGAGAGAAAAGGACACAAGCATATATGTTTTCAGCCTTCAGTGCACTGTCACTTGCAGTTCCTTTTTTTAATTCTGTCACTCTTTTAAATTCTGTCACTTGCAGCCCACAACTCTCTTATAAAGACAAAACTGATGTTTATCCATTGTTCAGATAAGAGTATCTGTGTACTGATTATTGCCTTTGTGGAGTCATTTTATACCTGTGGCTGAAAAGACCATACATATGGCAATGAAATTCTGTACATTCTCTATCATCCAAGAAATTTTCATCTTCCAGGTAGGTTCTAGATCAGATTTTAATCTGTCAAGATTTTTCATCAGGTACATATATGAAACATAACTATCACTAGAATCACCAAGTACAGCCATGGACAGAGTAATAAACAAGTGAAGAGTGTATGCACCTCTTGTACCAAATATTCAGATCTGGACAAATAACACAATGGACCAGTATTCAAGTAGGATAATTTCGCGGTAGCTTTTCATTGTCCTGAAAGTAAAACCATAATTTTGCTGTAGCTTTTCATGCTCCTGGAAGTAAAAACCATCAAATTCTCATTTACTTCTAACAACAAAAGTTTGGTGAAATACAATAAACTACCAGTAAAATTTCCACAACTGTTTTTATATTTACAACACCATCAAAGGTGGAAAAAGGAGGAAGTAAGCTCCAGAGATATCTACAAGATGGAGACGAAGAGATACACCGAGCTCAGAACAGCACACTGTTCTTGCGAAAACCGTTAGATGTATAGCCTTCAGTTCTCAACTTATCTGATATTGGAGAAGATTCAATGGTTCAAGAAGATAATAGGTGTCTCAACTGAAGCAAGTGTTCCTCATTTGTGATGTTAAGCGAAAGGCGCAGATTTGTCAGAAGTGACTCTTGCTCCCATGTCAGTGGTCCCAATGCATAGAAAGCTCTCACTGTTGATTGATATGCTTGTAGCTCCAGCTCATGGACATCCATTTTGAAATCACAGCCATGGACATTGTCACTCTCCTGCCTAAGCATGGATGGACATGAAGACATGGCATCATCAGGGAAGCTGTTCCTGACTCCGACAGATTGTGTGTCAGTGTTCATAGAGTGTTCTGAGAAATTCACACTACAACTAGCCACAGAACACTCGTTTTCTTCTCTAACTTGAAGAGGCATTTGGGATGGAGGACGAACTATGCTGTCTGGTTTTCTCTTTGTTAAGTTGTTCTTGGCAAGATCATTGTATCTTTCACTAGAAGGTCTACAAAAGAGATCTCTGTGGATGTCATTCTTTGCAGACACTTTCAGAGGCTGTGGTTTCCTGGTTTGCCGATGAACTTCATGTGCATCTACTCTCCTTTTCTTGCTTGCTCCTGGAATTGAATCATCTGGTGGCATCCTAGTCAGTTCTAATTTTTTCTTCACATTTCTTGCACTAGAGGAAGGACAGAGATTGATCGCTTTGTGCCTCTTAGTGATGTGATCATTAGCTTCATTGGAGTGATGATCATCTTCCATCACCATTTTTGAGTGATGAAATGTTTGATCAACATGTTGGGTCTGTTTTTCACTCTGCTTTCTGACCTGAAAAGGGGGCAATGACTTTTTAATTACCATGTCAATGAAATGCTTGCTGAAAAACCTGAGTGAAACTAGAGAGGTGAACAAAATTTCAGTCATTTCACAAAATTTGCAATAATTACACCCAACTAGTAATGAAATATAGTACTTGAGCATGCCATGTCATACTACTGATGTCAAATAAATTCGTCTGCTGTCGTATCAATCTTGTAGCCAAATGCTTATTGGAAACAAATCACACTAGCGGAAGCAATAACAAGCTTTACAGATTTTCAATAAAGAATCTAAATCATCAGTTGAAGTTCAAATACACTCAATGGAGTCTTTTGCAAATTCGACAAACATACTAACATAATCTCTTCCTAAGAAGTCCAAAGAATCCACTAATAATCATATATGCACTACTACAAAGCACAAACATGGAAGAACATGAGCTAACCACACAACGAATTGAAGTACTGAAACGACTAGCTACTGTAATAAAGAGTAACGCGTGGGAATCAGTACTCACTTTGTCTATTACAGCTGACTGCTTGCCATGATAGGCATGTGGAAACCTCAAGCAAGATATGTGGAATTCTCTCATTTGCATGCAACCTGTTACCCTGATGACGAAATAGTCATCCTTCAGCACCTTTGCGATCTTCCCAAGCCTCCACGAATTACGATCCAAAACCTCAGTTATGTCACCAAGAACCCATCTGCCTTTTCTCATACCAACTGGCCGATGCGTCCTAACATCATCCTTCTTCACTGCAGGCATCCCTTCAGCAGCAAAGTTTAGATTGCTATCCCTAAAGTTATGTAGCGTTGTACCTTTTAGTTTCATCATCTCTCACTAAGAACCTGACCCTGCTTACAAAAGGCAGACCATTAGGAAAGTAAAAGTAAGCACTTGCACTACTGAAAGAATAACAAAACATGAATGGATAAGAAAACAAAGATGTCATTTTGTCAAAGTATATATAACTGTATTTCTAGGTAAAGCATACAAGTGGGATAAAGACACTGTCATTGATTAAATCACTCCAAAGATCTGCTAAATTTTATTTAAAGAAGAAATCTAGGAGACCTTACAGTCACCGAATAAAAGAACTACCCTGGAGGTATAGTGCTGAGTCCAATCAGATTAGTTTGCAAGGTACCCCACTAACTTGTAACATCATTTGTTGAGGCCATAGAACAACGACGGAAGCAACGCAGCGCTCATTGAATCAGGCAACACAATATAGAACAAAAGGTATGGGTGCACAGTTCTAGCATCTTGATGTGAAAGTACGCAAGTAAATTGACCAAACTCCAACAAAATGCACCAGATTCTCAGTTGGGGTTGTGTTAAACATTCAAGAGTTGACATGAACTACAAAAGTATTTCATTAAGTATGGTTCGTGGACAACTGGTACACTATCAGAAGCAAGATATTGTCCCTTATTCGGAGATGCGTTCACAAAACTACTTAATGAACAGAGCAAATCCAGAATGAACAATATCAGAATCTGGACCGACTTCTTTTTCCCTTCCATTTTTAGCAATCAAACGGAATCGGACCAACTTCTACAGCTCAAAGTTGGAAGCTGAACAAAGGGGGAGCAGATGACTAAACTGCAGGACTGTCACTTATGCATCATTTAAGCTTCACAAGTCCAGGACTCCAGGTACAATCTATACTATAAGAGCTTCCAGTTTCCATGCTCTGAGCAGCCATGGCTTGTTTCCTTAGTACAAAAGGAGGCCTAAGAAAAGCCCCTAAATCAACTAGACATTCTACCTAAGCCGTTAATTAACCGTGTGAAAGGATTCACTCCCTATGACCCTATCTACTGCATTTTAACCAAAATTACCTAGACCATGATTCAGACAAATCGGCTATCCTTCTGAATTCTGATTTTGAGCCAAGAACTAGGAACATCTTATGATATCCGGAAGTACATTCATGGAAGAATCCCCAGAAAATGGTAGTAACTTTTTTCCTAGGAAAAGTCAAACCTCTTCTAATCTTTTTTTTTCTGAAACTGAAAACCTCTTCTTATCTGTCAGATGGGGTAGACCAATCAACCAATCTGGATCAGATGGCACACAACTTCACCTAAAAAGCATCCCTTGATTCCATAACATTGAAAAGCCCAATCAAGATTTCAAGGAGCAATAATAGTACAGTACAGCAGCTCAGATCGGAACCATGTACTCAAAGATCTAATTTGGACCACACTAAATATGCAAAAACAGGAGCTTTAACGTAAGAATCAATTAAAAAACTAGTTGGATTGATTGAATCTGTGATCCCAAAATTTGTAGCAGCGAAGTACAAATTTCATCTCAGCCCAATTTCCCTTGTAAAATACTAAGCTTCAGAGTGGAAAGAAATCAGGGCAGATTTTGATCCTTTTTTGAAACTAAGGGCAGAGTTCTAGACTATGAATAACAAAACATTAGGATCTTAGTACACCCAAAAACTCCTTTTTTACCTCAGTTTGGTGAAAAACCAAATCAGAAGGCATCATCGAGTTGGAATCACGAACAACAGCAGCTCAAGTCGGAATCACCAACACAAGAAACTCCAAGATGGGATTTTTAACGCGCAATCTAGGCCAAAATGTAAGAGTTGGAGTACAAGAAATCCAAAGAAACCAGCATCAAACCACTCCTCACCTGCAACAAGAAGCCAACCAACGGATAAACTCGCCTCGCCGATCCAAGATTCTCAAAATGAAAACAGTTTTCCCCTCTCCAGATTAAACAAGCAACTCCTAAATCGGGATTAACCCCCAACTCGTCTGTTCCTCCAATCCAATTCACGCAAGAAACAGAAAGAAATAAAGAAGCTAGCAAAAAATTTCGCCACCTCCAAACGCCCTAAAATAGAAACCCAACCCAAAAATTATGCGAAAAAGAAAAAAGAAGATCAGAAATTTGGTGCATCGAAGGTGACCAACCTCGAGAGGAGATGGGAGGATTAATCCGGCGGCCAGGAAGAAATCGGAGCGCCTAATTCCGTGCCTAACCGTAGGAGAAAACGGTGTGCTGGCTTTGCCCTGTGGATTGGCTGTTTCTTTCAGTTCTTGCTTTCCTGTTCCTTGCGTTTTTGTCATGGGAATTATTGTTTTTTTCTTTTTAAACATTTCCGATGTGTTTGTAAAGTATATAAAAAATTTTATCACTGGTAATTGTAATTTCTGAAAAAGATTGATCTGATGGTACCATGGTAATGTTCACGCTTCTGCTAAATTGATTATATATATTTTTTATTTTTTTTGTCTTTTGTTTGGGAGACGAGAGCAAGTGAATATAGTTTTGTGTCACTCCTTGGTCTCTCCCCCTGCCTTATTTGATTGTTCATATCTCCTTATTTTTATTTTATTTTTTTGCATAAAAAAAGAGAAAAAAGCTAAGTTCCATGAAGATATAATTATACTTTTTGGGTGAGGAAACCCGGGCAAATATTTATGGATCTATTCTCAAAAGATTATGAGTAACCATTTGGCTACTCTTTTGTAGCTATAAAAATTGATACGAAGATTTGTGGCTGACCTATCTTCTTGCAAGGCTCATATGTTCATGGAATTCTATATTAAGATTTATAATAAAATAGATAAAAAATACATATTGATTGTCCTAAACTGCTAATTTCTTATTTGTTCTGTCATAAAATATAGCAACGTAGAACTGGATGAAACACATTCTAGTACAGCGAATCTGGATATATACTAGTCACTAATATCATTATTATTATATATGTGTGCTTAGCAGTTATATTAAGAATTAGATTAGGATTAGGATTGTGTCAATGTTCCATAAGAGACTTCGAATCCTATACGAATCTCAATTTTGCAGTTATACCAATTTATACCCTCCCCTCCGTGGGAGAATGTTCCTCTATAGCAACCTGTACACCTGTGGGTAGACGTACGTTTCTTGGCGAAAGTAGCGCCGCCGTCGTTGCAGCCGCCATCGCCGCGGAGCAGATCGATCTACTGGCAGCGTTCGGACTGATGGTTGCAGACTCATTTCCATTGACATCGTCGACTAATGCTGCTGATCCGTCGCATGTCACGCCGCCACCAAGACCCACCGCTGCTACTGAGCAGATTGATTTGTTTCTGAATCTAGGAAAGATGGCTCCTACTACGCTGCCGCACCTCTATCCACGATGAAGTTCATCGCCTCTCCGACGTATACCACGTCGCCGCCACCGCCTCCGTAGTCGGATAGACCCACGATTTCCTAGTCATCGGATATCAACCATCATCAGGGCCAAGAGAACCGAGGTGACTCCAGCGAGCACCTTCGTCTCGGCGAGGGAGGCCACCATGGTGGCCGCCCTGGGCCGGGACACGGCTATATATGGAAGTGGACACCGTGGTGTCTATGGCTTCCATAGGCATTATCGTGACGGTTGGAGAGGTGATCACCATGGTGGGCATGGACAGGAACACATCATCTCTCACATTGGTTTCCTCCCGCCGCTGCCGCCACCACATTATCCTTTGTCGGAGTTTCTGCCGCCGCCGTACTTCGGCGCATACCATGAACCAACTATCGGATACGCACCCCACAGCGAATACTATGGATCAATGGTCAGCCATGCACACCCAGGTATGTGAGATAAGGAACACATCCTCTACCTTAAAAGATAGGTGACTGAGTCGCTTACATGTGAGACCACTCTACTATAGGATCACATGTCAGTGACTCAAAGTCATGTGACCTAATAGCAGAGGATCCAATTTGGTTAGATATACTAAAAGTTAAGTTTGGTGAATTGTTATTTAAAAAAATATATATTGATATTCAGTTATACATACCCTATATGGGACACACCATAAGTTTGGTGCATTCTTTCTTTTATTTATTTATACTGATTTTCTTTGTTATATGTAGGAGAAGTTTGGTGTATTTTTTTTTAAAAAAAATTATACTGACTTTCTTTGTGATATGCAGGATTTGCCTCTCCAGATTAAACAAGCAACTTCTAGATTGGGATTAAGCCCCAACTCATCTGTTCGTCCAATCCAATTCACGCAAGAAATCTATACCTACTTAAAAAATACTTAAGGCTTCCGATCGTCCGCTTCGTCCGTCGTCGTCGTTTGAGTCTGAGCCCGTCTTTAAAAAAAATCCCCTTGCAGATCAGCCGATTGCTCCCAACCCCTTTGCCCCCAATTCCCAAAATACATGAATGACAAAATCACTCAATTGCAATCCCAAATCCAAACCAAGAATCCCCACAAAATCAACATCCCAAATCAAAAATAAAATCCAAACCCTAACCCTAGCCGTCTCCCGGAGCAGCCCTCCTCGTGGTCGCCATCGTCGCCGTCGTCGTCACCGCCTTCCACCGTGAATTATCACTGGTAATTGTAATTTCTGAAAAAGATTGATCTGATGGTATCATGGTAATGCTCATGCTTCTGCTAAATTGATTTGTTTGTTTATCTTTTGTTTTGTTTTATTTTTTAATTTTTTTTTGTCTTTTGTTTGAGAGACAAGAGGAAGTGAATACAGTCTGTGTGTCACTCCTTGGTCTCTCTCCCCCTGCCTTATTCGGTCGTTCATATCTCCTTATTTTTATTTTTTGGCAGAAAAAAAGAGAAATAAGTTAAGTTCCATGAAGATATAATTATACCTTTTGGGTGAGGAAACCCGGGCAAATATTCATGGATTTGTTCTCAAAAGATTATGAGTAACCATTTGGCTACTTTTTTTATAGTTATGAAAATTGATATGAAGACTTGTGGTTGACCTATCTTAGTTCTTGCAAGGCTCATATGTTCAAGGTATTCTATATTAAGATTTGTAATAAAATACATAAAAAAATACACATTACTTGTGCTAGTCTGCTAATTTCTTACTTCCTCCATCCCAAATATAGCAACGAAGGACTAGATGTGATATATTATAGTACAACGAATCTGGATATATCTGTCCAAATTCGAATATGGATATATATATATATATATATATATATATATATATATATGTATGTATGTCCAAATTCATTGTATTAGGATGAGTCACACCCAGTCATAGGTTGCTATATTTTGAACCGAGAGTACAAATTAGTACTTTCTCCATCCTAAAAATTTTAGTACTAATTAGTACTAAATATATCCTAATTACTACTTCCTTCATATTCTTATAAGTTATATCAAATATGATATTATTTGATACTATGTTGCTATATTTCAGGACGGATAGAGTATTTGATTTATTGGAAAAGCCAAAAACAAAATTATACCAAATGGCCATAGATTTTATCCCTTTGCAAGCCAAAGCGAGCTGAGTTTATCCATGTCATGATAACTTTGCTGAGTTGGAGATGATGTGTTCTATACGGTCTTCTACGGTTGCACGTGCATACACACTTATTTGTCGTATTTTAGGACATACACTAGAGCAAAGCATATCTTTCGAATGTTCGTGTGTTTTATCAGATTTAGCATCAACAGTTATCTACAAGATTTTTTTTATATAAAATTACGTCTTTTACAATATTAATTTAAAGAAAAATACTTACAGTGCATGCGTAAGACTAATCGATCCAATGGGGTCATGCGCTCATTTATATTGATATTATTTTATTGTACCTGTTTTGGTATTAGAGTTTACTTATTCCAAATCTAGCCAAATGTGGGGCCTCCGTTCTGATAAAGTAAATGTAATGCACCTGGGTGTTTCCTAACATCCTGATCATTGGTAGTATAAATTTTACAATATTATTTTTTTTTTCAAAAGAAGATTCAACTCCAATAATAAAATTTTAGGGTTAATATGTTAGTATAAATTTCATGATTTTGAAATATATCATTACTATTCAACTATTTGAAACCATGTCATTATACCCCTTCACTTTTTTTTTTAATTTTCAGTACCAAATTGCAGCTGTCTTCTTATTTTATCCCCTTCTTCCTTCCTAGTCTATTTTCTATAAATGTACTGTAATAAATAAATAAATAAATAATATATATATATATATATATATATATATATATATATATATATATATATATATCTTCATTAATGTTCATTGAATTAAAGATTTGGTTTTGTTTTCTCATTGAATTTGAAGATTTCGTTCAGATTTCGGATTTAATAAGTTGAAGATCTTTCTGACTCATCTATATAAAGCGGATGAAACAGGCTAGCAAAAGACACACAAAACACGATACCTCTTCCCTTCCCCACTTCTAACATGGAGAACGTTTTTACTCAATCTGCACTACTCTGTGTGTTGTTTCTTAGTAGTTCAATAGTTGGAGGTTGCTCTCCTACAATGGAAGAAGAGGTACTTCTCTTGAGCTATATATATTGTTATAATTCAAATTCGATTTTATTCAACTGAAACATAGAAGTAATAGCTAGTCTATATTGATTTGTTCCCCTTTTCCCAAACAATTAACCAGGTCCAAAAGAATTGGCGAACATTGATGGCCCCTCTACTTCATGTGAATTTCTCTTCATCGGATCATATATCAACTCAAGCTGACCCAGTATATTATGTGAGTGTCATATACTCCTTCCGTCCAAATATAAAACATAGTTAGAAATTTGTTCCAAAATAATGCAACTCATATCTTCTTACCTATCATCGATGAATAAATCGATAAATTTCTTTCAATATCCCATCACCGTACCTACTAATATAACTTTCCTATTAATTTGGGGCATTTTGGTTCTTTGTCTCCTTTCTTAACTCCACCATAGGAAGCTAAAATTTGAGTTTTTTTGGGGAGTATGTTTTTTTTCCCTAGATCTAAAAGATGCACTTGTACTCATGATCATGATTTTCATGACCAAATACGTACTTTGGCAGTTTGCAGCATATGGATCGATTCCTTCAGACGACGCTATCAAGTATTACGGATTAGAGGCCACCATGGACATTTATGGCTTTAATCTAGAGCATGGACAACAAACCGGAGGTTTCATTTGGATTTACAATACGGATGAAGCATCTGCCGTGAATAAAGTTATAGCTGGATGGAATGTAAGTTAAACTTATCTGCTTGATTTGGAATTGTAATTTCAAGCCTACATTAGCTTAGCTGGTTGATGCTCAACAGGTTCATGAGCTTCTCACTGTCAATCGAAGATGTGTCACTAAACAAGTTACTTTGATTAATCATTTGCTCCATGTCTTTTAGTTTTAACATTTAGTTGTATTGTACCTCATACAGGTTGAGCCTGAATCGTACAATGATTCACAGACGCACTTCAGTACTTGGTTTGTAAGTTTCTTCATAAACACTGCAGTTTCCTATCCATCAATTTTTATTTTTATTTTTTTTGCCATAATAAAGATTTTGTATTTATTATGTCATAACTCATTCTCCAATTAATGCCAGATTGAAGGTTCTAATGTTTGTCCTGATATGCGTTGTCCTGGATTCGAAAGTGTATTTAGCTCAGAAATCGTTCCTGGAATGGTGATTAGCCCTGTTTCCACCACCTCTGGCAAGAAACAATACATTACAGTCAGAGTATCCAAGGTTTAATTATTGTCTAATTAATAACAGAACAATCTTACATTCCTTTTTTTTATCCCTTCATATATAAAATGGAAATAGTATAATGAATCTGGACATACCCATGTCTAGCACAACGAATCTAGATATACCTATGTCCGGATTCGTTATACTAGGATATGTCACATTCCATGCTGGTTGAGATATTTTAGCACGGAGGGAGTATGCGTCATGACACTATATTTTGATGATTTCAGGATCAAAATTCCGGTGATTGGCAAATCTACTATGGCTTTAATGGGGATGCCAAGCTTGCAGGTTACTATCCAAGATCTCTGTTTACAAGCTTGTCAGATAAACCAGTGACAATATTGTTTGGTGGCTATGCCTTGAGAAAGGATCAAAAGCCAAGTCCTCCAATGGGCAGCGGGAATGCCCCGTTTAAAAACGCCGCATCATTTCGTAGTATCAAGTTTTTTGATGCCGGTGGCAACGCCCATCCAATCGATTTTCGTCTCGGATTTATATCAAATTGTTACACTATTTCTGTTATTGAAAATGATGGGTTCTTTTATGGGGGACCTGGCAATATTTGCTAGTAGTTTGTAATCGAGCTTCAACTTAGTGTAATGAATATCCTGGGGACTGCACCCACAGAGAAATTGAGCTTCAATAGAGTTCATCACAACTGTTGTGCCACTCTTAGTTGATAAGTATTTAGCCTCATCGTTTGACGTATTGGAGGAAAAAACGAAATGGCATATTTGCAAATGAAAAATAATTTGTGAATAAAACTTTTATATACATGTTCTTAACGATCTAAGAGTAAAGACTGAAAAATAAACTATGGAATGAAAAAAAAAACTCAAAATCAGCTCCAAATTCCAAATTTAAGATTAAAAAATTAAATTTTGGCTGATAAGCATAAGTGGAAAGATCAAGATACAAGATTCTAATATACTCCCTCCATTTCGAAAATATAAGCAGATAAGGAGAGGAAAGGGAAAAAGAAAAAGAAGCCGAAGAGGAATTACATATGCGTCATGGTTCCTTGCTTTTAGTTTCACTTTCACTTTTACCCAGGGTATTTACATACTCACTCCGATTTGATAATTCATGTCATATAGACAGCGACACATTCTCCAAAACCTATCTTTGAATATAATTTTCTATTATAATATAAAAACCTTAATAAGTACTCCCTCTATTTTATATTATAAGTTGTTTAACTTTTTTCTTAGTCAAACTTCTTAGAGTTTGACCAAGTTTGTAGAAAAATATACTAATATTTTTAATATAAAACAAATATATTATTAAAATATATTCAATGTTCAATTTAATGAAACTAATTTGGTGTTATAGATGTTGCTAATTTTTTTATAAATGTGGTCAAACCTAAAGAACTTTAACTAAGAAAAATTAAACGACTTATAATATAAAACGGAGGGAGTATCTAATTTAATTTGATTTTTTAAGTCTCATCTACACATGTTGTCCCAGTGCCTTAAAATTAATATTTCAAAAGTTGCTAATTGTCAAAGTTATAAAAGTTTGACATCACCCTTATAAAAGAATGATAGGAATTATAAAAACAAAAGGAGTATGTGACATTATCTTTCGGATACTTTCATCGTAAGTGATCCCTCGGAGTGGATACTTTCATCAGAAGTGATCTCTCAAAAAGAGAGAAGAGGAGGTGTACACTTGGCATGGTTGCATAAGGTAAAATTCATATCTTGCCTTTTGCTTGGTCGAGCTAGCTAGCCCATGTCAAGCCAGCTCGTATCACACCGTAGAAAATTAAACCCTACTGTCACATAGATTATGAGAAAATATATATAGAGAGCTATAGAAATATAGAATCTAGAAAATAAATAAAAACCATATTTTTTTTTATAGATTCTCACAAGCTATTTCTCATAATCCATAGTTTCCTAAACAATACCAAAACATCTAGGTACTTCAACGCGCAATATATATGCAAAGGAAACTACTCCTTCGTGATGATTAAAAAAAAATAGGGTCATCGAGGCCAATGTCATGGGCTCACGGCGACATTAGGATGGAGTGCCGCCGCAACCTTCTTCCGGCCCTACGCAAGGAGGCAGGTGCCACTGTCGCCGTCGTCCGCCTTAACCTCGAGAAGCAATTTCCTCCTTCTGCCTCTACCCCGGGAGGCTGCCGTCATCATCGACTTGGATGCCGGGAGGCCACCATCACCATCCACCTCAACTTCGTGAGGCCGTAGCCGTCGTCTGCCCCCAGGAGGCACCCACCACTGCCCCCATCTACTAACTCCAAAGAGAACACCGCCGTCGGCTGCTTCTAGCATTTCAGGTGCCTACTACTCCTATGTATCTTTTTAGTTCATATATTGGTTACTTAAGGACAGTGGCGGATCCAAGAAGATATAATTAGATAAAGCTATAGCTTCCCTTCAAATGCATATATGATAAAAAAAATTTAGTCGAGGCTTCGTAGGGCTCCCATGGTCCTATTGCAAGTACTCTATCTGGAATGGTCGGAGCCATTGTATTTTTTTTGAACCTGGAACGGTAGCATGCATGACATGTGACTTGTATAAGAACACTAGCTATCAGGTGCTAATGAAATATTTTACTCTAAACTTTATGTCATTCCTATGCTTGTGAATAGCGACAGACAATCAGGTATGAGATATGTGCCATTCACTTGGAAAAAAAATATATATGACATTTTACATTCAAACATCAAACATTATATTGATCAAACAATTAATATACTAGCTGAGCTCGTTTGGCCCCTTTTCGAATTACTATAATGTAACCATACATTGCTGATGAGCATACCTGTTTTTCATCGTACCGCCAACAATTACCTGAATTTTGTTCGATCGGATAGTACCAGTAAATTACTTTTACTCCATCCATCAAATCAGAAAGATGACAAGGAATCTCATATAGGAAGCGTACATGAACATATATAAGACCATGATCCCAAATAAAAATAAGCCAGGGAAAGAAATATTTTTATTTGGGATATTTTTACTTATCTTTAAATAAAAATAAGTTGGACATATAAAAGGTTCAACGAAAGAAATATTGATTTAAAGATAGGTAAACATATTCAATGTGCAACTTATGTAGAATCTGAACATTCCAACTAAATCTAGAAGTACGACACAGTCAAACGAACGAAAGCTTCACACAATACTTAGGGTGTGGTGTGTTTGAGAGCAGTGGAAAGGAGAAGATTGAGAAGACAAGTAAAACGAGATAAGTCATTAGCATATGATTAGTTGAATGTTAATTATTTTAAACCAAAAAATAGATTAATATGATTTTCTAAAGTAACTTTGCTATAGAATGTTTTTTCAAATAACACACTATTAAAGTTCAGGAAATGTGCGCATGAAAAACTACACAATTTTCTTCTTTGTTTTGGCTAAAGCAGCCATGCGTCAAGCACGGCGTGGATGTGGATCACAGGATCGTGGGAATAATTAACTATTTACCACTCTTACAAATGGTCATAGAGGATTTGTCACTATACCCACATATCATAGATACATGAGGACCCATATGTTATAGACAACAAGTGGCAAATCCTTAATTACCATATTTAGAAGTAGCAAATAGTTAAATGGCCCATTCTCTTTTTTTTTTCATCTCCTTCGATACATGGAATGTGCTTGCTATTGAGAGAATCTGTTTAATGAGAAGACGAACCACATCGCCACTGAGCCGTACCAGAGTATGGACGCTGTTTGCGAGGCACATCCACACATCGGCGCTAATCTCCACAGCGTCCATCCTAGTTTCGTGAATCTAATCTATGATTTACAATTTATTTAACTAAACAATTATTAATTACCGTATATAAAAAAATCAGGAGAATATCACAGTTCCAAAATGGAGCTTAAACATTGGCATCCTTAATATCCATGCTTCCTTCTGAATCATTCTCTAAATTCGTAAATGCCACCAAACAAGATATAGGGCCTTTCGGCTAGCACTACAAGATGCCAGCACGGTTCGAGCCTCACTTCTGGGTCTGTTCGGTGGCACTGGCTGCAGCAGCTGCGCAGCAGCATCAGCTACAGTGGCTGCAGCAGCCAGCCAACAGCTGTTGTACCCTGTAGGGCTTGTAGGGGAGTAGTTTTTTCTGTAGGGGCTACAGCAGTTTCTACAGTCGAACAGCTGGGCTGTGCAGCACAGCCCAAACAGCTGTGAAAATGGGCTACCGAACAAGCCCTCTCTCACTACGAGAGATCAGAAGGAGCGTGTTTAACGTTCAAAAACACACAAGATCTTTCCCATGTGTGATAATGTCTTAACAAATTCTGATCGAGAGCCCCTCCTCACATATCAAGTGTTTTTTTTGCACACTCTATCAGCACTTAAGTATTAGTTTCCTATGATCACCTACTTGTATTTCATACTTTTAAATAGACTAGAAAAAATGTCTATGCGTTGCAACGGGTAAAGACTATTTTAATCTTATTATTGTTATATGTTTTAGTTAAGATAAAATCTCCTGTGGGAACTTATTTGGTTATATATATTTTTTAAGAAAATCGTGAGCTGCAATTAGGAGTCCGATCGTCTCAACTTAGCATGCAAGTTTTTTAAAGAGAATTATTGTACGATTCCTTTTATATTTACTAAAGCAAACGAACTTAAAACCTACATATTTCTAAAAGCGAACAAACTTAAAAACCGACTCATGCCCGGATGAGTACCAAAATACCAGCAAAAACATCTTCAATTTTTATAATAACAGAGATTAGACCTATGCATTAGTTTCCAGATCACCTATATGCATTTCACATCTTTAAATATATCAGACGGCCAACTAAAGAGACTAGCTTTCTCAAATGCACGGTTCTTTATGAAGATATACAAGGAAACCCTACATGTAATGTGATTTGAGGCTAGCTTTCTCCAATGAACGGTTCTTTATGAAGGTATACAAGGACTTAACCCTATATGTAATGTGATTTGATTTCAAATTATTTTTGTTTAATAGATATTCATCAACAAATAGGAAGAACATCATACTTCATGGGCATACCAGTGATTGACTTACTGAAATCACTATCATGTCATAAACTCATCCAGATGGCACACACACTGAAAATGTGACCCAAACTTCTCCAAGGGTTGAATATTACCATCAGCATTAATATTATAGTGATATAAATTGTTTTCCGCGGTCCGATTTGTACCATGATGAAAGACATACCACACAAATTTAATAAATGATTCTAAAATACGATGATAGCTAACACACATTAGTTGTGTTTCAATCTGGCCCCGTCGTGCTAATTTTTTTGTCGTGTTTCAATCTGGCCCTGTCGTGCTAACTTTTTTTGTCGTAGCTTCTCCTCTTCCTCCTCTAATAATAATTTACTAAACTTTTAAAACCGTAACGTATTTAACATACTAGGACTTAATTAAAGTAAGTAGAGAGATAAAGTAAGAAACTAACAAAGTATAAGTAGAGGGATCAAAGTAGGACATTGAGAAACAAGTTAGAACTCGAGTATTTGTAGACTTAACTACTTGAGGTTAAAATATAATGTTTTCATTTTGTTATCAGCTTGTTATACTGTATATATTAATCTAACATTGATTGTGCAGTGCACAAATAAAATCTCCCTCAACTGTTAAATGGGGGCTAATTTATCTTCCTTGATGGTTGTTTAGA